GTAGGCTCTGAATCAATGCTTGTAGGCTCTGTATCAATGCTCGTAGGCACTGTATCAATGCTCGTAGGCTCTGTAGCAATGGTTGTAGGCACTGTATCAATGCTCATAGGCTCTGTATCAATACTTGTAGGCTCTGTATCAATATGTGTAGGCTCTGTATCAATGCTCGTGTGCTCTGTTCCAATTCTCTAAGGCTTTATTGCAATGCTTGTAGGATTTAGATCAATGCTCATAGGCTCTGTATCAATACTTGTAGGCTCCGGATCAATATTTGTAGGCTCTGTATCAAGGCTCGTGTGCTCTGTTCCAATGCTCTAAGGCTTTATTGCAATGCTTTGTATCAATACTCGTAGGCTCTTTATCAATGCTTGTAGGCCTGCATCAATGCTTGTAGGCTCTGTATCAATTCTTGTAGGCTCTGTATCAATGCTCGTAGCCTCTGTATCAATGCTCGCAGGCTCTGTATCAATGCTCATAGGCTCTGTATCAATGCTCGTAGGCTCTGAATCAATGCTTGAATACTTGTAGGCTCTGTATCAATGCTTATAGGCTCTGTATCAATGCTCATAGGCTCTGTATCAATACTTGTAGGCTCCGGATCAATATTTGTAGGCTCTGTATCAATGCTCGTGTGCTCTGTTCCAATGCTCTAAGGCTTTATTGCAATGCTTGTAGGCTTTAGATCAGGCTCTGTATCACTACTTGTAGGCTCTGTATCAATGCGCATATGCTCTGTCTCAATGCTGTGAGGCTTTATTGCAATGCTTGTAGGGTTTAGATCAATGCTCATAGGCTCTGTATCAATACTTGTAGGCTCCGGATCAATATTTGTAGGCTCTGTATCAAGGCTCGTGTGCTCTGTTCCAATGCTCTAAGGCTTTATTGCAATGCTTGTAGGCTTTAGATCAGGCTCTGTATCACTACTTGTAGGCTCTGTATCAATGCGCATATGCTCTGTCTCAATGCTGTGAGGCTTTATTGCAATGCTTGTAGGGTTTAGATCAATGCTCATAGGCTCTGTATCAATGTTCGTAGGCTCTGTGGCAATGGTTGTAGGCACTGTATCAATGCTCATAGGCTCTGTATCAATACTTGTAGGCTCCGGATCAATATTTGTAGGCTCTGTATCAATGCTCGTAGGCTCTTTATCAATGCTTTGAGGTCTGCATCAATGCTTGTAGGCTCTGTATCACTGTATCAATGCTCGGAGGCTCTGTTTCAATGCTTGTAGGCTCTGTATCAATGCTCGCAGGCTCTGTATCAATGCTCGTAGGCTCCGTAGCAATGGTTGTAGGCACTGTATCAATGCTCATAGGCTCTGTATCAATACTTGTAGGCTCCGGATCAATATTTGTAGGCTCTGTATCAATGCTCGGGTGCTCTGTTCCAATGCTCTAAGGCTTTATTGCAATGCTTTGTATCAATACTCGTAGGCTCTTTATCAATGCTTGTAGCCCTGCATCAATGCTTGTAGGCTCTGTATCACTGCTCGTAGGCACTGTATCAATGCTCGGAGGCTCTGTTTCAATGCTTGTAGGCTCTGTATCAATACTTGTAGGCTCTGTATCAATATTTGTAGGCTCTGTATCAATGCTCGTGTGCTCTGTTCCAATGCTCTAAGGCTTTATTGCAATGCTTGTAGGCTTTAGATCAATGCTCATAGGCTCTGTTTTAATGCTCGTAGGCTCTGTTTTAATGACAGTAGGCTCTGGATCAATGCTCGTATGCTGTGTCTCTCTAGTAATAGTATCCTGATCAATACACACATTTGAGGCTACACTAGTATGTACATCATGATGGGAAAACATTTCCACTGGCCATGTTTCAACATTAGCTGGCAATGACGGGAAATATATTGGGGTATCCAAGCTGCAACTCAGATGGATTTTTGAAGGGGTGCAAGTGTCTCTTAGACACCCTTTCGTGGCGTTCTGAAATTATGAAAACAAAAACAAAGTAGCCGTGATCGCTAAAGTGCACAGTCATTGTACTACTGTGTGCAATCAAGCGTGAACTTCAGACCACCTGCTCTCCAAAGAATTTCGGTTCGATCCCCAGCAGTGGTGGAAAAAAGAGAGTGATGTCTGATAGGGTTAGTTGTTATCCCTCCGATGGCACAGTGGTTTCCCCCCGTGGGTTTTTCTCCACCACGAAAACACCATTTGTTCCCTTAGCGGCGTCGTAATAAAAGCTCTACAGAGTTTGTTGTTGAAAATTGTAAATGACGTTAAATAAGGATTATCATTATTATATTATTACATAATTTAGTGACTACAGAGATTTACAAAAAAAAAATATGCGGTTCTAATAACCATCCATTTGCCTACAATTTGATCAACCATACAATCTGTTGGCATTGGTTACAATCAATGGGTCAGAATAATACAGATACACAAGTACATTCCAAAAATGGATTTATTCAAGACCCCCCCCCCCCTGCTAAAACTTAACATAATCACAGGCTTCACAATTCTGATGGTTGCCGTAAACTTGTTGAATTGGCTGTTGAGAATCAGCTATTTTATTTAAACAGCTTTCAAAATGTGAGGTTTGTCCCTTTTGTTGTTTACTCCTTATATTACAATCACAGCCATTTTACTTAAACCAATATTTCACACTTGCTAACAACTCCTATTAAACCCTTAAATTCAACCAGTGAATTTGCTAAACCATATACCTATATTCTATAGCTATGATCAAGTGATTTCATCTGAAAGACCGAACATTACAAAATATATCAATTTAAAGGATTATTTTGTCTCTAGGGGTATACCCACATCTTATTTATGTGGAATCCCCCCATGGAAATTTCATAAGGTTGCAGTATGACTTAATATAACTTATTTACTCATTGTTGTTGCCCGGGATAGAAGTTTGCAATGGGTGTTATTATATAATTAGTATGGGAGGAAACTGGAAACCTACACAATCTGGCCACTGACCTATATGTATATACCTTTGCATGTCCAATTGATAAATTAAACCACATCCTTCCTTGTGAAAGGCGAGTGTACTATACATAATGCTCATCCTCGATAATCCAGGGGTTATGCTCACTTTCACTCTCTGAAAACCCCTCAGTAGGAATTTCCCTATCCTACACCCATGGACATGTGGCAGGGTTCAATTGTACATAGGATTAAGGTCGCCTTCTAGGTTCGAGCTAGAGGGAATTTCCCTTTAGCTCAGTGGTAGAGCGCCGACTAGGAACCCAGAGATCGAGGGTTCGATCCCCGGTGGAAGCACACTATTCTCTTTCCTGTTTCAAATGGTGTCTGCATGTGTCCATGCATCTCTGTGGTGACACTGGGAGTTAGAACCTAGGTTGTGGTGTTTGAGTCTAATCGTGGGCGAACACATTTAAAAAGGGGGGAGTAGTGTGGCAGTGTTCAGTTGTACATAGGATTAAGGTCGCCTTTTAGCTTCGAGCTAGAGAGAATTTCCCTTTAGCTCAGTGGTAGATCGAACCCTCGATCTCCAGGTTCCTAGTCGGACGAGGGTTCGATCCCCGCTCGAAGCACACTTTTCTCTTTTCTGTTACAGACATGAAAGAGTCTTATAATGTCCCCAGCACTTGTGCTCAGAACTTGCAGAAGCCTGCGTTTTATACAATGATCAAGCGAACTTGAATAATAATGTAGAGTAGACAAATAAAGTATTCATCCACAGGGGTTCGTTACAAATGTCTGAAACACACATGTATATGTTTTATATAAATCTCTGATTTAGATAGAGTTCCTACAGGAATTAGTATATGCTATACTGATAGCACATAAAAACGTGTGTTGTGACCCATATCATATATGTGTATTTGATAATTTCAGACTAGCTGCGATTGTTTATATTTTTTAACATTGGGCTTTTGGTGCTTGGTGTCGAATAAAATGTCAAGGAGCAAAAACCAGCACACTTACACTGAAATTAGTGAACTACAAACCTTATAACGACAACAGAAGATCCAAGTCAGTGACTGAATGAGTACGTCTTCGCGGCTCTTTTATCAAAAACACGTGAATCCTCGCATCAAATCTTGTTCTTTAGCTGTAACGAATAATCACAAAATGATGACGTTAACTATTGAAGGTATATAGTAGTTTCACCTAACCGGTAAATATATTCACACAGAATATCAGGATCAGCTGTTTGTCAACATGTGTTTCCCGCCTTAACGTCAGAAGAAATCTACCTTTAAAGAAGATGGTTACCGAAGGGAGGTAACTATGTAAAACAGTCCTTATTACAGGGGCTCGGTTTCGAGATTTTGAGATTATGACGAACATTGTAACACTTTCGGTTATTAATACACGTATACACATCGGCAAATAATTGCAACACTTTTTTATCCGGTGTTAATACACATTCTTAAATTTAATAAAAAAAAACGAGGGTTCCGGAGTCAGAGGCTATGTGGTAATTTATTTTTAGTGTATTCGAGTTATCTTTCTTTGAACACTAAATAAAAATAGACACACGGAAACACATGACGGGAGATATTTGTTAAAAATTGTTTGTTCTATGTTTTTTTTTTAATACAGTTTTATGTTGCATTTTTTTGGATTCCGTTCGTAGATTGTGTACATGTCTATGACTGTCATCCGTAATTTCAACAGTTTTCTACCGATGTCAGTATGAAATCGCGGCTGCTTCTTAAGTGCGCGGAAACCGATTACTCGGTAGTGAAGCGGACGTAAAACCAATTAATCAATCAATCAATCAATCAACTACATCTACATACAAATAAATGTATGGCCAAGTTGGATAAAAAACAGGTGATCTAAAGATTATCCAAAATGTTAAGAAATTAAAGCTTTTTTGTAGGGATCCAAGTGTCGATAGGTTGGTAAATAATATCATCATTTTATTCTCCTTGTGTTTTTTTGTGTAAATATTTCCTTTGGTCATATTATGTGTTAGTCTTGTAAGTACCAAAAGTCTAACGAACAGTAGCTGTATGTGAATTTTAAGATACTAATGGGTTCCGTTAAAGTCTACGCAATGCAAACCGAGAGCATGTTCCCTGACCCCTATGTCCAAATACAGCGATTTGAATGATTAATATGTTTTCGTGTCAGCAGACAAAGCATGTTATAACTTGACGCTGCTCATTGTCTACAAACACTACTACATTATATATTTCCTGGTTGAAAAAAAAGCTTGATGACAAAGGAAACCCTACTTCTACTTTGAGACATTTTTCGAAATATCCCCCAACCATGCTGCAGTATTACATGGACTTTAAACATATCTTGATGTCCAAAATAGGCACAAAGGATGTGGCACAAGTTGTAGCACTTATGAAGCCATCTGCTATCAACAACATATTTCAGATATGTACAAGTGATGACATAGAACATTAATTTCAGATTCAACAATTGAAAGAATTCAATTAAATGTAAATTGTAATGAATACATACATCTAGTTTATGTTCAAAATCTTCTGCTGGGGTATATGAAGGACTGCACATGTTCGAATACATTACAATTTACATCCAAAGCCAGGGTTTCATTGCCAAAAAGTTACAGATTTTAGCTAATTTGCATATTTAAGTAATTAAAAGGTTGAAGCATTACTGCATGAGCGTTTGAATAACATCGACACCCAAAAGAGAAATGATTAGCATTTTCACAATGGTGCCCACAATTTACACAATTAGAATCATCAACCCGGAAGAGATCATCTTTAAGAGAGCTGCATTGATGTCTTAGTCTAGTATGTATGAACGTCCTTAAATGACCTAAGCTGTTAATAGGACGTCAAACAAAATTAAACCAAACCAAACAAGCATGTATGATATTTATTTCTCTCTCACCATACATGTAGTACCAGGGCTGACTTGTGGGAATATGTTGGGATAGAGCTAGTTTAAAAGACGGGAGAGGCAGACATTTAATATTGTCATCTAAAGTATTCCAGTTATTTAATGTAGAAGGTAAGACAGATATTGTTGTAGAAGAAAGTCGATAATTTGGAGTTCTATATATATATACACTGCAGTTGTCTTTATTTCTTGAAGCATATGGATTGTTTTCACCTACTGGAATTCTTTCCCCAGAAATGTTTCTTCTATCAGGAATATAATTTTTCCATTTTGCTCACTACCATACCAAATTGAAGGAATACATATTTGTTCCAACAAATAATATTTTAGTCTTATTCTCCTTGCGTCTCTGTTTAAATCTGTCCTTTGATCATATTTTGTGTTGGTACATTAACTACCCGAAAATCTAACATTATGTGTGGCTGTATTTTCACAAGTATCAACTTTTCATTCTCATTCGAAATATCATGATTTTGACACAATTAAATTCATGATCTTGCATGCTTAAAATCTAAACAAATAGAACTCACCAAGAAATAAACAACAACTTAATGGTTTCAGAAGATTGGATTCAAGATTGTTTTTAATTTCACACTTATAACATATTGGCATACATATACAAAATCATTCTTGAATGTATATGATACATAACGTTTGCATAAATCACATGGGTATCGTTCAGTTTACTCACAAATAAATATTAAACAAAAACAGCTTGAGCTAATCAAAATTGTCCTCGATTTTGGAATAAAATATAAATACGTGAATTATAGGATTAAATAGTTAGATATTGCGATTCAAATGATAATCTCTTTAATCTGTGTTGATTTCGTTGATAAATCATATACATTTTAAATATTGTTATAATAATAATAAATAATAAAACAAACATAATACAAATGATGATACACAGTAGACTGCAGATGTGTTATCCACTCGATTTATTCCCTCAAGTGGAAGAAGATATAGCAATCTTTTCACGGTGAGTTTATACTTTGCAATGGAAGACACCTAACAACGACAATGGCTTATTGAAAAATGAGGATTTGGACTATCTTGAAAAATATTTCCACGAAGAAAACAGTCGTGTTAATATTAACGAATATACTAATATACTATACTATATACTAATATACTATACTATTTACTAATATTAACAGCTGTTTTTGGGTCTCATATGCTCCTATTAACCAATCATAGCACTTGTAACAGACATGGAATTATTTGAAATTACATTGTAATAATTACAGTATGTATTGTATAATATGACAAAGAAGTCACATACCTATTTATTGTTAACAAGCTTCACACACCGACGCCATTACTTTAAAGTATATAAATAGAACTCCAGATTAAATACAAGAAAATAATCGTTCACACAGATAACTGCTGACATGTGGAACAATCTCCCATGGAATGTAAGGAGCGCAATGAAAGTTTAACACTTTGAGTATGAAATAGATGAACAAGGGACAAAATCAACCGCAAACAAAAATTGTTTCAAAAGGAGATATGAAATATGAAATAACGATTATAATTATGTACCTTCATATTATTTAAAAATGGGGTATGAAATATAAAATAAAGATATAATTAGGTATCTTTATATTACAATCTGACTATCAAAGGATTGTAAATCCTGTATATTTTATGTTTATATGTGATGTCAGTATCTTAATTTGACAAGACAAGATGCTCGTCCGATGGACTTGGCGTTCCAGCATATTTTAGTAGGTTTGTAATGTATTTTGACGATACAAATACCCTAAAACATAGCAATAAACGTTTAGCACAATAACATAACAGAATTTGTGTATTTGATAAATAACAATAACATAAACAAACACAAGTCAAGGCAGTAAAATGTCCACCGGTGGATCTTTGGAGTCATAACATGTGATATGTTTTTGTGGTTTCATTAACTGTTATAAGAAAGTTCGACCAGTGTTGTTGAATCGGCCCTCAGGTGGTGTTAAACTGGCTCTCTTGGTCGAGGTCGAAAAGGACGGACGTAAAACGAACGAGAAACTTCTTTTCTGTATCTGATGTCGTCTTTGAAGTTGTTCCTGTAACTGTTGGTCATACATAGGTCGGTAAAGTAAACCCATCGGGGAAATTTATTTTCGGATTTGAGAAAAAGCAAAGACACAATGCTAATACCACCAGCATTAGGACAGCGGCCAGCGTAACAGTACCAGCTATTAGGGTTTTCGTTTTTTGTGTTTGTATTTCCTGGTCACGTTTTAGATTCTGAAAAAAGAAAGCAGCGCACAAATCTTGTATTAAATGTACATTAAATTATTTCAACCTAGTAATTATCACGACACGTTTTATGGGTATTATAACAGTTGTAATATATAACATACTGTTACGTACAATTGGTTCCGATATGAAGAAGCTGTTAATTTAATTTCGTCAAATTGCATGCAAAGATAAGCATTGGTGCCTGCCTAGCTATTCCTGATGAGATCAATGACAGTTTTAAACAAATGCTTCATTTAGTATAATAATATTGAAACTCAAATTAAATGTTAAGGAATCAAAAGTACAAACAAATAACACGAAATATATAGTACACATGTAATTATTTTTTTAGATATTTTGCAAATATTGCCTATCCTATTCTGGTTCTAGGACAAAAATAGCAATTTTCTGGTACTATGACGTTAGTTTAATAGAAAATAAATCAGTTTTACCTAGGTAATATACATACTTAATAGTATAGTTTCATTAAGCTAGCTGGACATAATTATATTTCTTTCCGAGCCCAATATTTTTCTCCAATTATCATAACTGTACATATACAACTGAACGGACAATGGCAGTGGAGCTACGGAGGAGCAAATAGGAAAAAAAATACATCTCAGAATAAACACAAAAGGCCAAAATATACAATTAAGTTGAATTTGTGTAGAGGTTAGGAAACTTACTAACTATTCCGTTTGCCTAAACATACTGGCGGCAAAACCAAGGTTCTTATGTGTTGTATGGCAATACCAAGGGTCTTATGTGTTGTACGTCAATACCAAGGTTCTTCTGTGTTGTACGTCAATACCAAGGTTCTTATGTGTGGTATGTCAATACCAAGGGTCTTAAGTGTTGTATGTCAATACCAAGGTTCCTATGTCTTGTATGTCAATATCAAGGTTCTTATGTGTTGTATGTCAATACCAAGGGTCTTATGTGTTGTATGTGAATACCAAGGTTCTTCTGTGTTGTATGTCAAGACCAAGGTTCTTTTGTGTTGTATGTCAATGCCAAGGTTCCTATGTCTCGTATGTCAATATCAAAGTTCCTATGTGTTGTATGTGAATACCAAGGTTCTTCTGTGTTGTATGTCAATCCCAAGGTTCTTATGTTTTGTATGTCAATACCCAGGTTCTTATGTGTTGTAAGTCAATACCTAGGGTATTATGTGTTGTATGTGAATACCAAGGTTCTTCTGTGTTGTACGTCAATACCAAGGTTCTGATGTGTTGTATGTCAAGACCAAGGTTCTTTTGTGTTGTATGTCAAGACCAAGGTTCTTTTGTGTTGTATGTCAAGACCAAGGTTCTTTTGTGTTGTATGTCAATGCCAAGGTTCTTATGTTTTGTATGTCAATACCCAGGTTCTTATGTGTTGTATTGACATACAACAGATAAGAACCTTGGTATTGACATACAATACCAAGGTTCTTATGTGTTGTATGTCAATACCAAGGTTCCTATGTCTTGTATGTCAATACCAAGGTTCTTATGTGTTGTATGTCAATACCAAGGAAGTAGGTACAAAGTAGGTCACCACCGATAAAAACACTGTTATATTTCAGGGTAGATACTGAAATCGTATTATTGGAAATGACGTCATAAGAACCTCTGTTTACTGTCATGGTAGTATCACACAAACGAACACTTCATTGAAATATGAAGTAAGCTTCTTACTTATCCTCTATTTATATTGACGTTGGACGTACTTCAATGAAAGAAGATCGATAGTTAATATAATTAACACAAATTGTACATCTGTAATTTATTATGCTGTGAATTACTTTAGGTTTTTTATTAAAAATTAAAATGTCGGGCACGTATGATAGACATATAGACAAAGCATCACGTAACTTGTTCCACCTTTAATGTTACAGAGCATAAGAGAAAATAATCGATCTAGTTCAAATTAAAAAAAATCATTTAGTGTTGTATGTGCCTGAGAGAAAACAAACGATCTAGTTCAAATAAAAAAATATTTAGTGTTGCAGGAATCTGAGTGAAAAACAATCAATATTTTTTTTTTATCAAGAGCAAACCGTCGATTTTATTTCTAATCAAAAATTCAATATTTGAATTTGACCATTATTTCCAAAGAAATTTCCTTTGTATTGAAAGAAAATAATGTAAAACTGAAATTGATAAATGAATGAAAACGTAAACACTGTTAACATACGTGATAGTCCGTCTGATCAGTCACTTCACGATTGGATGGACTAATAATGACATCATGGTGTTGCTCCTTTTGTTCCGGGGGTTCTTGAGTGTTTGTCTCCTGGAAGAGGAGTTTGTCTTCGCTGCTGTATGTGATACCCAGCAGACATGCGATTATCAACAGGAACATCATCTGTGTGATAAAGATGACAATGGTAGGTACAACTCAATTATCTACCAGGAAAAAATCAAAGTAAGTACTCTTTTTGAAAAGCCATCACCAAAGTAAATAATGATATACAAGAGAAGAACACTAATGCTTATGGATTATAACAAAACACGGAATGTTTCTGCATGCCGTAGACATTAAGTAAGACGACATGCCGTAAATATTAAGTAAGACGACATGCCGTAGATATTAAGTAAGACGACATGCCGTAAAGATTAAGTAGGACGACATGCCGTAGATATTAAGTAAGACGACATACCGTAGATATTAAGTAAGACGACATACCGTAAATATTAAGTAAGACGACATACCGTAAATATTAAGTAAGACGACATGCCGTAAATATTAAGTAAGACGACATGCCGTAGATATTAAGTAAGACGACATGCCGTAGATATTAAGTAAGACGACATTAATTAAATGTTAATGAACTTTTCAATATGCAGTAGGATACATTCACGTTTAAAGTAGGTATCGGTATACAACACAAAACACTAAAAGCATGTAAATATAAATTTATCAGATATCAAATTATACTATACGAATATATAGAATAGAACAGAATCAAATACGATATAATGTCATTACGTATTTATCAATTACCAAACTATACTATACCAATATACAGTAAAACAAGACGAGATAATACAAAAATGATATTATGATTTATCAACTACCAAATTGAACTATTCAAATATATAGTAAGACAACGCAAAATATTGCTAATTTATGCTACTTATAACAAATTTAACACGACCAATTATCAATCTACAAGCGTATTTAACGATGCCATATTAAAAAAATCAATATCAACTTTGAAGCCAAGTAAATAGGTTTGATTCATACCGAAACGTAGGCCATCATCTAGTTGTCCCAGATATTACACTAAATCCTAGTTTGATTGTATCATAAACGAGGTGTACATGTATATTCGCATCTGAATCCTAATTCAATAAAACGAGTATTGATAAACGTATCCACCCATCATTAAAAGTTAAAAACATTAGACCGTATACATATGTCAGGAAATTTTATAAACACACATTCGACACAGGCTTTCTCCAAAAGTTGTAGTTTAACATCGAATTTCTAGCTATATACACACGTACATCTCATAATCAACTTTCATATTGAGATTTATGTATATATTCTAAAGCAATCAATACAAACACGCTCTTCATACATATATACAGATCCATTCATTGCCATTCTATGTACAACATTTTAAATATCGATTTTTCTCACGTCCAAAACAAAGATATTACCTTTACATTAAGAATAATGAGTATGTGTTCCATGCTTTTCTCAAAATTCTCAATTAAATGAAAGTAACTATAGAATGTACTAGGTTTACTAGGAACAGCTGTGCATCCTGCTCCGTAGGTAGTATCCATCTAAACGATATATCAGTTTTATGGTACATGTGATATATAAAGGCAATTTATGTTAGCTGTTGTTTACTTAACATCGATACAAGATATTTGACGATGTGAATATTACGCACAACGATGTACAACTACATGTATATGTAAATATTAAAGGTATATCTCTAAGCTTAATAGTCTTCTTCCTTACAGAATCTTTTTCAAACAAGATATTCAGTAACTAGTCTATACCCAATTTTGTTTCAAATAGCTCAGATATGTCTTTCGTTATTTTTATTTCAGAGTTTTGAAACTCCAATATTTTGACTTGGAGTGAGATTTTGTTTAGCGAAAAATGCATTTCGAATGAACTTTATTTCGTATTATTCGTCTTTAGTAATAATCATAACATAATACATCATTTGAAATAGCGCCCTATCTAGCCAGAATAAGCTGCTGCTCTAAAGAGGTTTACAGTACATAGATATAAATTTATACAATTAGCATATACATTAATCAATACAATTTTGAAGAATTCGAAGGAGCTGCCTGATCAGGCGCTAATTACTAGTCCTATGCCACCTGGCTAATACTTCCCTATGCGTGTATACCAGCGTGTGTGCTGGAGATGTAATGTGTTCTGTTTGTAGTGTGACCATGCTTCTAATGGTATAATTTATAGTGCCAGCTCACTTGAATGCTACAGCACAGACACCGCAACATCCTCCCCAGACCATTTTATACTCCACCTAGGTTGTTGGAGTTATGTGGGCAGGAGACAAATACTTTCTCTGCAAATTCCATGTGTACGACGACTTCGGGAATCGAACCCTGGCGGCCTGCGTGGAAGGCCGGAGTGTTGACTACTCGACCAATCCGCCCATTAATGATGTAATCCAATAAATGCATACACGCAAATATGCCCCTTAACTACCATGTATTGGTAAAGTATCGTATACTGCTGATATTCACTTTGTTATCATGGAATTACTAATGATGCATGGCATTCAATTTTCAGTTCCAATTACATGTTATTGTAGTAAATATGATTTTCATTTTTTTCATCGTTGTGCCTCATATTAATCCTTAGAAACACAAACTAGGCATTTGTTGCAGTTAACAAATGTTTGGATTTTTGCATCAACTTAGTTAACGTTGAACAAACCCTTTGTATGTATCTATAGTGATTATCCCAGGCAAACATCCGTTGATATCTGATTTGCTATCTATCAAAGTTTGACGTCTTTTTGTTTTTTACCTGCCTCAATTTTGCATATATATGTATAGTGTTTGGACCCGTTTATTGATAATATTCTTAAAAACTCTATTTTATATCAACCATATTAGACTTACATGTACCGTCACAAATGGAGGATACAAAGATAATTCGATAATTTGTAAAACCACCAATGTAAGCTTAACCTGGTCATGGACGCTGAAATGTATTCGTCCTTCTATGGAGACAGGTATATTGACAAATCGGAGTGTTCACGCAACCGCAAACATCGTCTATTTAATGAGACATGTCCTATTTCCATTAAAGTGGTTGATATTACGACGTCACGTCGATATGTTTTCTACATTAATAGTTAATCGCCATTTCAACTTTTTTACCAGCATGTATGGAAAGTAGTACATACACAATCTGGTAGATAATGTTTTTATTAGGTGAAACAAAAGTAGCGCAATGAACTAGCGGAAGATAAATCAATGCTATTTCATTGCAGAAAGGTATATATATATATATATGTGTGTGTGTGTGTTGTAAAGTTGTTAGGACATTATTGTATCAACAGAAAAGTGAAATTCAAATTTCACACAAGGAAAAAAAATGGTTATTTGTTTTCTTTATACTTTATACCAGTTTTGTACTTATTTTTCATTTCATCAAAATTTACTGACAAGATTGCATAGTCAATTGGATAGAATAACAGGCAAAGCCTACATAAATTCTCTCCGTCAAATGGATAAAGTGGAATAAACAATGAGACATACTATTTTAGACTAACGTCCATGCATTGATATATCTATGTAGTGTGTCAATGTATATTCACATGTATTTTTTACGGTGATATTATAACTAGGTTTTACTATATTGTGTGTATGGGCAATAGTGTTAGTATGTATGTTCATTAATTATAGATTTCCATGAACGGGTTGGTAGGTGAGAGGAATGTGGACGAGACAACTGGCGCGACACACATTGGGTCAGTTCCACAAGGGCAGACAACTGGTGTTACACACAGTGTGTCAGTTCTGCAAGGGCAGGCAACTCATAGTTGTACTGACATCATTCGTCAGTGAGGGAGCAGTCCTCAGGTCATCTGCGGAGCCGGAGGCCTGCATTATAGCACATCGGTGCTAGACCGTTCTCAGCACATCGGTGCTAGACCCTTCTGCGGTGGGGTATATATCCATGATTAGCGGACGTGGAATATATGTTGAATCGGAACACAAGTTTGTGAGACTTGTTTAGTCCATCGGATCCTTTCCATACTGCATTGTGTATTGCCCACATGGACAGTGGAACTATTGGTATACAAGCGGCAACTGTGACTCCACCAACCGGAGTAATGATATTTAGTGTTGAATGTATGAATGTGTGTTTGTGAGTGTGAGTACATACTTATGGGGTTTTCTTCAATAATTATTGTAAATAAACTTGTAGATATTGTATAACAAATCGTTCTCTGTTCTCTCAGCTACCGACCGGTCGTCCAACGTTACAAAATTGTCAATTACGTATTTATCAATTACCAAACTATACTATACCAATATACAGTAAAACAAGACGAGATAATAAAATAATGATATTATGAATTATCAACTACCAAATTGAACTATTCAAATATATAGTAAGACAAAGCAAAATATTGCTAATTTATGCTACTTATAACAAATTTAACACGACCAATTATCAATCTACAAGCGTATTTAACGATGCCATATTAAAAAAATCAATATCAACTTTGAAGCCAAGTAAATAGGTTTGATTCATACCGAAACGTAGGCCATCATCTAGTTGTCCCAGATAATACACTAAATCCTAGTTTGGTTGTATCATAAACGAGGTGTACATGTATATTCGCATCTGAATCCTAGTCCAATAAAACGAGTATTGATAAAACGTATCCACCCATCATTAAAAGTTTAAAACATTAGACCGTATACATATGTCAGGAAGTTTTATAAACACACATTCGACACAGGCTTTCTCCAAAAGTTGTAGTTTAACATCGAGTGTTTCTAGCTATATACACACGTACATCTCATAATCAACTTTCATATTGAGATTTATGTATATATTCAAAAGCAAACAATACAAACACGCTCTTCATACATATATACAGATCCATTCATTGCCATTCTATGTACAACATTTTAAATATCGATTTTTCTCACGTCCAAAACAAAGATATTACCTTTACATTAAGAATAATGAGTATGTGTTCCATGCTTTTTCTCAAAATTCTCAATTAAATGAAAGTAACTATAGAATGTACTAGGTTTACTAGGAACAGCTGTGCATCCTGCTCCGTAGGCAGTATCCATCTAAACGATATATCAGTTTTATGGTACATGTGATATATAAAGGCAATTTATGTTAGCTGTTGTTTACTTAACATCGATACAAGATATTTGACGATGTGAATATTACGCACAACGATGTACAACTACATGTATATGTAAATATTAAAGGTATATCTCTAAGCTTAATAGTCTTCTTCCTTACAGAATCTTTTTCAAACAAGATATTCAGTAACTAGTCTATACCCAATTTTGTTTCAAATAGCTCAGGTATGTCTTTCGTTGTTTTTATTTCAGAGTTTTGAAACTCCAATATTTTGACTTGGAGTGAGATTTTGTTTAGCGAAAAATGCATTTCGAATGAACTTTATTTCGTATTATTCGTCTTTAGTAATAATCATAACATAATACATCATTTGAAATAGCGCCCTATCTAGCCAGAATAAGCTGCTGCTCTAAAGAGGTTTACAGTACATAGATATAAATTTATACAATTAGCATATACATTAATCATACAATTTTGAAGAATTCGAAGGAGCTGCCTGATCAGGCGCTAATTACTAGTCCTATGCCACCTGGCTAATACTTCCCTATGCGTGTATACCAGCGTGTGTGCTGGAGATGTAATGTGTTCTGTTTGTAGTGTGACCATGCTTCTAATGGTATAATTTATAGTGCCAGCTCACTTGAATGCTACAGCACAAACACCGCAACATCCACCCCAGACCATTTTATACTCCACCTAGGTTGTTGGAGTTATGTGGGCAGGAGACAAATACTTTCTCTGCAAATTCCATGTGTACGACGACTTCGGGAATCAAACCCTGGCGGCCTGCGTGGAAGGCCGGAGTGTTGACTACTCGACCAATCCGCCCATTAATGATGTAATCCAATAAATGCATACACGCAAATATGCCCCTTATCTACCGTGTATCGGTAACGTATGGTATACTGCTGATATTCACTTTGTTATCATGGAACTACTAATGATGCATGGCATTCAATCTCAATTCCAATTACATGTTATTGTAGTAAATATGATTTGAACCAAAACAAAAATCGGATTAAGAAGTTATATGGTATTATTCTGGGTTTACTTTTAGACGAGTGATTAATCAATGGTTTACATACAAAGAAAAATACCGAGGTGTGTTATTTTATATCATGTACCTTTGGTAAAAGGAATACATGAATTAATAAAACAACACACTGATAATGTAAAAACATAAAAATAAAGGTACGATATCGTCTACACAGAAGAACAACATCCGAATTCAGAATCAATGCAAAATGATCAGGAAGTGAGGAGACACCAAAAACAATAGGCAAACATCTTCTACATATAGGTTTCAAAGCGTCTTTTCATTTTTTTTTATCGTTGTGCCTCATATTAATCATTAGAAACACAAACTAGGCATTTGTTGCAGTTAACAAATGATTACTTTGTTTGGATTTTTCATCAACTTAATTAACGTAAACAAACCCGTAGTATCTATAGTGATCATCCCGGGCAAACATCCGTTGATATCTGATTTGCTATCTATCAAAGTTTGACGTCTTTTTGTTTTTTACCTGCCTCAATTTTGCATATATATGTATAGTGTTTGGACCCGTTTATTGATAATATTCTTAAAAAACTCTATGTGATATTAACCATATTAGACTTACATGTACCGTCACAAATAGAGGATACAAAGATAATTCGATAATTTGTAAAAACACCAATGTAAGCTAAACCTGGTAATGGACGCTGAAATGTATTCGTCCTTCTATGGAGACGGGTATATTGACAAATCGGAGTGTTCACGTAACCGCAAACATCGTCTATTTAATGAGACATGTCCTATTTCCATAAAAGAGTCTGATATTACGACGTCACGTCGATATGTTTTCTACATTAATAGTTAATCGCCATTTCAACTTTTTTACCAGCATGTAATGGGAGTAGTACATACACAATCTGATAGATAATGTATTTATTATGTGAAACAAACGTAGCGCAATGAACTAACGGAAGATAAATCAATGCTATTTCATTGCAGAAAGGTATATATATATATATGTGTGTGTGTGTTGTAAAGTTGTTAGGACATTATTGTATCAACAGAAAAGTGAAATTCAAATTTCACACAAGGAAAAATAATGGTTATTTGTTTTCTTTATACTTTATACCAGTTTTGTACTTATTTTTCATTTCATCAAATTTTACTGACAAGATTGCATAGTCAATATGATAGAATAACAGGCAAAGCCTACATAAGTTCTCTCCGTCAAATGGCTAAAGTGGAATAAACAATGAGACATACTATTTTAGACATGGTAGAAATGAAAAATTTAAAATAAATTATTCATATTAACACAAGGCTAAGGGGAAGTAACACATGAAGGAAACATCTCACACACCTCATACACACTTACACACACATACAAGTACATGTATAAATACTTTAAGTTCAGCCTATATATATACACTATCATAGACAGATATTGGCAGACTTTGACCAAAAGTACTTATTTCTCTATAATATTGATAAAGATAGCGTATGAAGGAACTAACCTCACAGACTGGTGCGATACGCACTCGTCCTTCCCCTACACGTCTACTCTGTTATGGTTTCGTTTTGATCATGCCATAGTTATTGTCTTCCAGGAAAAGTAATTACAAAGAGTACATCATAATACTGATCAATGTACGGTGCGCATGCTTACCATTTATGTATACACCTACATGTATTCCATTGTATAAGATTAGGAACTTTTCCAAGTTTACAATTTGTTTTTGGCATAGTGCTTAGACGAAATATGATGGCGTGCATTCTGACGTTTTTATGGTGGTGAATGGCAGTTAGTGGAAGTGTTTTCCTTTGTGTAATGTTTAGGAATTGAGTGAGAGTTGCGTCGTTTATGCTGGTAAGGGAGTGTGTAGGTGTTGTGTTTTTTTGTACGGTGAACTATTCAAGAATGAGTCAGTTTTCAAAATTAAAATGTTTTAGGGTCGATGGAACATCGTGTTAACACATATCTTTGTGACATAAAGAAGGAAGAAACTTGAAACTAAATATGTTTTTAAACCTTTCATACATAAGAAATCGAATGCCATATTCAGTCTTGAAATAAAAGGAGAAACATCTTTCAATTTCACCATTACTTTCCGTGTACGTCTTACAGACAAATTATCACGCATGTACTGCGTTTTTACACTTAGATTAACTCTGTAGAAATAATTCCATTCGCCTTGGTGTTGACTGGCTGTGGTACGAACTAATCAAGGAGTAGCGCGCTTGGTAAATAGTTACAAGATAACACATGACTTTTCTATTGCATGCTGTGAAGCTGTGAAGAGCTGTACAAAGATTGATGGACGACCAAGTTATACTTCAAACTTCAATTGTTATTATCGCCTTAGTTCTGTTTAACAAGGACAAATTGAAATTAAATTATGTTGTCCTCAGCACGTACTCGCGTTACTTTGGATTAGATTATTATTTAACTACTTCAATACACAACTGCTGACATGACATTCTCCGCATAAAATGAGTATAAGATATTGTCTCAAGTATAACGGGCAAATTGATACCGTCCAAATAGGTAAGACTAAGCGTGATGTAAGCGTTTACAGTATCTCTGTTTTAATTGATTCGAATGTGAAAAATTCCAATCTATTTTTGGTGTATGAACTCATGCTATGCAAGCATAATGAAAGTAAGATTACCTGAGCACACTCACAGCCACCAGGGCTTTGTTATCGATTAATAAAGATACCTTTTTCTTTCTGCTGCATATCAATTAACTTCATCTAAGTAGGTTTATCGATACGCTATCCTTGAAAACTTGCATAAGCTTGCCTAATATAAATATAATAAACCAAAACCTTGTGGCGGACTTCTGAAGAAATATACATTCCTTACTGTTAGAAAGTAACTGCCTATTTCATCCACATTCAGTTAATAAACAATGTTTACTTTATGATACCTATATAGTCACCGTGTAGTTTAATTGTTTTCAGTGGTCTGTACAGCATTCTATGACGACCGTCGTATATTAGTTCATGATCCAGTAACCATATTAAAAAAACCAATTTGTGGCTTACCTTTCGCTGTCTGCGAAAAACCCGATTTCCGCCAATATTGATTATTTCTCTGGTCTTAAAACTGATTACGACATTTATTACAGATATGTAGTTTTACAACCATGTAGTTTTCACAACCGTAAATAGATCCAAACAATAGTTGACGTGGATGAAGTGGCACCTTTTATAGAACGGAAATCACCTAGAACAAAGATAGCCAATTAGTCACTAATAATAGAACGGAATTTGTTGGCAATGAATTGGCACTTATTACTAAACGAAAATCACCAGACACAAAAATAACCTATTCAGGTTGATAACTGGAATGACATTTACATATATTGAAACTTATGGTCAATATTGTCTGATCAATATAGGATCCAATTACCTACCAGGGTGTGACTGTACGGTTCAACAATATAATTAGAAAATAGTTTTGAAATGTTTTTTAAGCATTATTTATGTTTTGTTGTCAAATGTTATAAATTGTAACTCCTCTTTTGCAATTTTTAACAGATATTTCAGAACACATTAGGTTGTGTCTTTCGTCCCTTCCTAAGCCAGTAAAAACTGGTGTTTTTACACTAGCTCCACACAGTGAATGATTGATTGTGATTAGTGATTATTTTCTGAAGGTGGTTGTCTAAAAAAAACATGTATTCCGCTTTAAGGACATTATTCTGTATAAGTTTCAACAAACATTGAATGATAGCTTGAGGATAAAAATAACAACAACAACAGCAACAAGTTTATTAAAAAAGTTCATTCTTTCATACAATCACACTCCGTATACGTCAAGTCAATGAAACAGTACAAAATCCCTATAGTAATATAATAGTATACCCTGTCATAATTCATCATGCTAACATTATCAGGAAAACAAGTTTCTAATAACAATGTGTTGGTTGTGGTGGTGGTGGTGGTGGTGGTGGTGGTGATGATGATGATGACTTGAAGTGCAGGTTTAAATAAGAGAGTGAGTGAATGTGTCATATTTGTTAATGTATGTGAAATACTTTTGTGAAAAATAATACTAATTAATATAGAAACAGAAAAAAATAAGAAAAACTAATTTCTCTCACAACAAACATCTGATAGATATGTACATTTCTCCCTAAAATAAAAATTCAATATTAGAGACAGGAAACAAAGAAGCTGATCTATTAATATCCTGTATCACAGAAGTTAGCTCATATATCACAGGAATGAATTTAATCGTTTGATACAACCATATACAACAGACTAGAAAATGAGGAATAGCAATGTTTGCTTTGCCAACATGCAATATTCGCTAGATAAGACAAAGCGTCATTTTACGTTAATAAATACGCATTACATACTTGTGGGAAACATTTGTTTCTAGGTGATCGTGTATCCGCATACAGAGACTCGTCTACTAACAGGGACACAATGACGTTTATATTTAATATCAACTTGAAAAGTCACTGTTAAACCAGAATTACTTCAAAGTGGTACAATACACGTTACTATCGGTAAATGGTTCTTTCAACCAGTCAAAAAGGTCTGTGATAGTGATAGAAATGTCTAGTTAAAAAGTGAATAGTGTTCATGATATACCTTACACTATCAACACATGACTTTTAAACGTTCACTAAGCATTACAGTTTTTGCATTTAGCACGAATCCAAATCGGTATACATATCCTTATCGGATGGAGAAAAGAATGAATCAGAACTATTTCCCAATAAATCGTTTATAACGCGTTAATCTATTAATATTACGCCATCATCTTCTTCTCCTCGTCCATATTTAAATCAACAGTTTTCCATCCATTTCTGCATGGTTTACTCTGTACCATACTAAAAATAACGAACAGTGCTGTGAGCAAAATGATGATTCCCGCCCCGATCAGAACGGGTTCACTCAGCATTCCTTGCAAAATACAACCTGAAAAAAACGATAATTGTGTAGCCTTTATACATACTTACATGTTTATTGTATGCATTGATATTTATATCAGCAATCTGAGTTTATAAAATAGTGTAATAAGCAAGTGAAATAAGAGGTCTTCTAAGTGAAATGTAACATTACGTTTCATGCATGTTCTACACTATTTAGTATATATACACCCATGCAATTTGTTTTTATCAAATAACTTTAACAATATCATATCACAATGCATTTTAACTGTTTACCTGTTTCTGTGTATTGTTTCTGATTGAATTTTGTAGAAAAGGTATGCAACTGTCAAGAAGAATGCAGCTGATTGAATATAAACTCAAACTGATGATAGTTTATAAATCATTAACACGATTTTCTGAACAAAATCTCAAAGAACATATTGTGTTGATTTACTTTATAAATAGTGTATGTAAATTTACTTACTGAAAATTTCCTCAACAGATTTGGTGTTCGAACAATTGATTTGCTGATGCTTCTGAAAGAAGAAAAAACTCCTAGGTAAACATAAAGAAACTCGCGTGATGTGCTGGTTGGGGGATTGTTCGTTGTTCTGATTATCAATATTGCCAATTAGATTTTGATTTGATCTCGAGATAGACAGGTCGAAAATTTAAACAAAATCTCAGTATATAATCGCCGGTTAAAACAAGAGAAACAATATACTATCCCCATCATAACACAGTGTCACAAATACTAAGTTCATACGTGTTAATTTCGCTACAACCAATACATTGTAGTTAGGGAGGTTTTGTTTGCAGGTTCCAATGACGTGTAGCCGTTCAAAAAGAAGCTCAATAGTTGGTAATTTGGTCCCGCCTATACTGACTTGGTGTGACATTTGGATCGTTCTTGTTTAGCGTCCTGTTATCAACGATTTCATACGACAAATTTTGATTTTTATTGGCCAGAGTTTTATAACTTCCTGTCAGAATGCATGACAAGATGAACGTATCATCGACATCGACGACTGATTTATGTTGATAATTGGTAAAATTCACACAACACTGAGGTACGGGTCTGTGAAATGTTTCATAAGTGGTTTGGCAAAACAATGCTCGAACTAAGTTTCAATAATGAATTTTGATACAGTTCAATACCATACATTCAATTCGTTCATCAGTTTTGTCAACAAACTAAAGGGTTAATTTGCACTACATGATTGAATAGCTCTGTTGTTTTGGTCAGAAACGGTACGGCGGTACCAACCCCGATTGAAACATGGTTCTCATCGAAGATACGATCCTAATCAGTTTTCTACCAAAGCACGCGAAAGAATCGTGGCAGTTTTTTAAGCTGCACCGACGCTTTGAGAAGTTTCAAAACCGCATCACCGGTTGTTGCAGGGTCAATTGGTTAGCTGGGCGGATCCCAGTTTAAGAAAAATGAAAGCGACAATTGAGGATGTTGCCTTTTCATACCATTATTCTGCAACTAAAGCAAGCTTTAGGTTGAACTGGATCATATGCCCACAAGGAATTCTTAGTCAAAGCACTTTGAAACTAGGTGGTCATTCAAATTTGCGATTCCTTCTGTCGACGATGTCTTGCGTATTTGCAAAGATCCAGGATGAAAACAATTTGACAAGCAATTTTGGCATATTTCCGCCCCTTCGTTATGACTCTATCACCTCTGTGACTGGCATAATTCGCAAACTGAAGGGATCATTTATCTTCATTTTTATGTTGTACTTGTAACACGAAAACAGATTTAATGCAGTGTTCAAATTGTAAATGATACTGACACAGGCTAAGTGTCATTAAAACGACGTAGTAGCAGTATACACTTTATAATAAAAAACTGAATGATTTTGCATACCGAATCATTTTGCATTGTTGTAGAAATGCTGGTTAAAAGTGAAGACGTCGAGGAGTTGAAAGGAGATATTGCTGTCACACCACCAATAGTATTTGGTCTCGCTGCAGCCATTACGACAACCCCACCAAATGTCAGCACTGAGGTTAACCATGCCATCGGCACCATTATGAACTGTAATTTAATAGTGCACACTTGTGATTGGACAATATTAAGCTATAGCCTGCTTCCAAATTACAATCTTACACTTAATTACTAAAAGGATGATTTGAGTACTTTTGTAACTGGTAATAAATCTTAATTAAATATTTTCATCTGAATCTGTGTCATGTAAACTTTGAACATTTTAGGCATCATTGTTAGTATGATTTGTAATACTGCTAATCTGTGTGTTACATGTCAAGATTATGATTATTATTCAACAGTTACTTGATAGAATTCAAATGATTACAAGGAATACGTATAAATGGAAGGCCTATAGGACTATAAACCAGAAATACAAAGTAAACGCTATACTGCATTATATGACCATGTCGTCCATTTGGAACTAGTTAATAGTAATAAAAGTCAAAATAATATAATTTTAAAGATGAATTCCAAACAATAATTTAGATCTAATGTCCCGTGTTTTGTTTTCAAATAACAAAAACAAAACCTAACATCTTCCCCTCCCCCAAATTGCCCCCTCATCCTCCCCCATCTTCCTCTTTCATATGCACATGGAACCGATTGGAGGTATTGCATATATAACTGATACAAAACAGAATTAATTTAAATGATACCAAATAATTGCCATTAGAAATAAGAAAACCCAATCAAAGTCAAGTTTTAAGTGCACCATCAAATAAGGTAAAGTGTTAAGAGCACCATCAAATAAGGTAAAGTGTTAAGAGCACCATCAAATAAGGTAAAGTGTTAAGAGCACCATCATCGGGGGAGAGAATGAAAATAACAAGTAGCATAACACTGGAGAGTAACATTGGATAATGTTTTAAAATTAAAACAAAAACAATGTTTACATGCGATTAAACGATGATAAAAAATGCTTACCTATATTACAATAACAGATGCACCCGAGAATTACTCCTTTCTATTTGTCAAATCAACCGTTATATGAATTATTTAGTATTACTGTACATAATATTTCAAATTTAACTAGATTAATGACAACCACGTTAAAAAATAACGTGCCATTTAAAGATAATAAGTCAAGGCTTACTTACATTTAATGACAGATGTTCCCGCGAATTTCTTCTGTCCAAATCATAAAACATGATATAAGAGTCTATTTTGATCTGAGTTATTATTAGAACAGAAACTGAAATAGATCCATGTAACGGTTGATATGAAGGGAATCCCCAAAACACAATGGCATACCTAACTTTTTATATTTAAATAAGCTATTTAAATTCTTTAAATCACGATAAGGCAAAAAAACACGAAAAAACAAAACAAACAATTTGCCACAGAACGTGCCGTTGTAAACAGAGCGTAGCGCTTACCGCAGTCTATATGTATACGTATACGTTTTCTAAATATAAAGTCAAGTAATAGGACTGAAAATTTTCAGACGTTTTACAACGCCTGTTACACTCATGTTATGTAGTACACAGTATGTAACGACAGAAACTTCCGGAATGTGTATTTCAAGACATGAAGCTACTTAAACAGACATTGTAAGTAATCATTACTGCAAAACATTAATATCTAAACATTGTATATATATTCGATAATCCAATACGCATGTTTACTTTTGCATTACTCAAGTATAAACCATTTGTATCGAGGTCGTTGAGTCTTACTGTAGAATGTGACCGTATGTATAGATTGCTATATATGTTAGAATGAGACACGTTACTGTTTATGATGAATTTGGGACAGGTTTAAATTGTAATACGTCAGATATTTACTTGGTTAATTATTGATAGTCATGATTTTGGGTTTGACCTCCACATTCTCATGGATAAGTTAGAAAATCAGGCGGGCTCATTTACGGAGTCAACTCCTTCCTTTTCCATAACAATTCCCTCTGTGCGTATTGCAGAGTTTGCAAACCAATGACGTAATAATCAATACCTGCTCACAAGAGCAGATAACTCTGCAATAGGCAAAGACGGAATATCTGTGAACAGAATAGTACCACTAGTATTGAGTATTCACTGTATATAAGAATAACTCATACTTATGATCGAGTTGATTGAAATGAAAATCATTAGAGATATTTTAATTAAATACTGAACAGTTGTTAATGCAATTCGCATCTATTTTATAGATAATCCTGTCACCACTGCCAGTATCATGATTTCCCGAATGTCACCGGTATAAACGGTACGGAACAACGCCCATATCCCCATAACATGGTAAGTGTATTTTCATCTTTCTAAATCTCTTCCGTATTAAATACACAGACAAACATCGTGCATACTTATGGAATAATGGCACCACTGTACGTGTCTTCGTTCCACAGCCATGTGGAACATTTCCTTACACATCATTGTCCCAACATGTATGGAGCACTCGTAACATATCATGTTTCCAACATGGGTGGGACTCTCCTAACATGTCAGTCCCCGAGGATTCTCGTTACCTTGTAGTTGGAATCAAGCACAGATTACATGAATTAATTGTTTTTGAATAAATCATCGGATGTAACCTTAAGGTGTAGATTTGTAAAGAAATAAAAGGCTTTAATTCTTCATATATGAGTTCCGGAACACTTTTTACCCGTGTTTTTTTTTAATTAGTTTGACCTCAATACCACTAATATCACTGATGGGGGAATTTGCTGAAAAAGCTACATAGAACAGAGAATATTCAATTTGTGTGGCTGTCTACATTTGCAAACTAATTGATGAAATAGCTGTCTACCACTGCGTATTTCTAACCGGAATGTTTTAAATATGTGAAGAACCACACATACCCTGATCGTATAAGTATGGCTGTCATGTTGCCAACATGTGTTAAAAATAACCTAATTGTTTTGTTTGACATGTAATTTTACCTATACCAGTTAACAGACTGGTTGTATGATCACATAATAGATTGAACCTGGCATTTAAATGCATTGTGACGGCGATCAGTGTCCGAAAATTGTAAGCTGACAAATAGAAATAAAAATCTGTCAGACGGAGGTAGAATTTCATGTACTTATTAGATAAGAAGGGAACTGCATTTAAAGCTGGATCATATTCACTTCTTTTAAGGTGTATCTAGTGATAGTTATAATTACTTAAGTGGCAAGTGTTCTTGAATAGAAATTTTTAACCGATGAAAAATATTTGAACATAATTGTATTTGGCCTCCTTTATAAAACGGTGTGATTTAGTGTAGTTCTATTTCACCGTTTCTCTTCGAAACTCCATATACATGTTTGATAAGCGCAGTGTTATTTTACCGTTTACACGAAGAAATATTTGTTTGGACACTATATTTCCGGTTTTGAGCTGTTTGTTAAGCATGATTAGTAACTTAATGTTCGCTGTTGTTTTTGCAGATTTATGATGCCGAGAAGCTAGCTAAATTAGCTAAAAGTGTCACGTGTTATATATGTTAAATCTGTTAAAAGCTATAGTATTAGTGCATACTCCATTCCTTTTTCATCACGCCACTAGCTATTTTTCCAAATTAGAACAAAATGTCTATACAGTCGTCTTAATGCCTTTCCATCTCTATTGTAGGAGGTTTCCTCTGCTACCACCAAAGTAGCCAATAGTACAGTTCCAACCGCGTATGACATCGGATCAAATGGTACGTCTTGGTGTTCAACACATTGTCATCGTTATAGCGGTATCTCTAATAGACGTATGTTTCCAATTCCAAACACATGTAGTTGTAAAATATCGTACCTAAAGAAAGGGTGACAGTTGTGCTTGTACATACGTAGCCTAGAAATAGAAATTGTTCTTGAGGATATTTATCCTTGAAACCATGTTGAAGGCCATGCATTCAAAATGTACGGATAGGATGGTATATGTATGAAGAAGATGACCAAATAATTAATTCGCAAAAGTACAAAAGTAATATTAAGCTAGATTTTCGTTTTTATCTATATTAATGTCATAACTCGGGTAAGTTACAGCGTGATTTATATATTGTTTATCACTATCACAGTCCTCGACAAATTAGATGTACTAAATGTTACACAGATGATCTCAAACTGTTAAAATAGTTAATTTGTGAACTCAGACTGTATGTCTAGCCACATCTGCTACAGTGTCCACATTTTTAAACTTACTGTTAAAACAATCAAACGACACAACAGAAGGAGTATATCAGTCATGTTTATATGTGTATAATAATAAACGTGTAGATGCCTGATATTTCTTAGGTAAGCAATACTGAATATTAGAATTTAATGGACTTCCATGTATGTTCCATGCATTGTTTTATTATGTACTAAAAGGTGTTTCAAATCACTATCTTCTCATTACTTATAGTTACCTTTGTCAAAATAGTTCGTATGTTGTCTCAAATCGGATCACACATTATTATCCATGGTTATAGGTCCTTTGCAACCAGCCAATACATGTTCAACTCCCTGGGGAGCATAAAGCCGGAGCTGCCATATCGGCGCTTACAGCTAGCATTCAACAATTCTAACACTTTCCAACCACGTACTCATTTACAGATCAGGAGACTGGAACAAGCGGAGTAAAGTATACAACACAGTGCTTTGCCGTGACTCCAACCCGCAACCCTTCGGTCACGAGTCCGGCGTCCTACTACTAAACTACCGTGCATCCGTACTAACGTATCACAATATCGCTACTCACATAAAACAACATATCACCTACACATTTAATATATACGTAATGGATTGATTAATTATTTTAGTGATGCAATGCTCTCGCAACGTCACATAATTATTCTGATTTTATTTTTCAGATGACACACAGATGGTTTTGATCCGATTGGGCGCCATTGTGTTCGTTATACTTTTCATTGTCCTGATCGCCCTCTTTCTTGAATCCCGAAAACGTCACAGGGCAAAAAAGGACTTGAATGCTTTCTTTATCTTTTGATGAATACGAATCTATTGTTAACTACATGCATTTAAAGCACTACACACAATGCATTAGAAAGCATTGGTCAATATTCCTTATCTAAGTGCTTGTAAAAAGGTCAATTTACACTAATTCAATATTTAACGTTATTTATATTGCTATTATACAACATTTTTATTATTTTTTTTTATATTTATTTGACTCATTTGTGTTTTTTTTATTGTTAATACTTTGCCTAAGATATTATGCATAATAAAATTTGAATCAGTGTTATATTTGTTAACTTTGTTTTATTTTCATTTGCACGTCATTGAAAAAAATATCAGAATCATTTGAATTGTACACAAAAGCGGTACTTATCTAAACATTGCACAGTGTTTGTTTGTGGCGTATGCAATTAAAATCTAAAAACATCATTTAGCCATACTTTTCATTGGACTATATTTATCCTCGAGATGTGGAAAGCGTGTGTTATACCGTATAACGGGTTAGTTACGCGGGCTTAAATGTTCGCGAGTTTGACATAAAGTTGGAAAATTGATTGTATATGGAGTATAATTTCGTAATCTAGACATGTTAAGGAACTTAACTTTCGCGTTGTTTTAGCAAAGAAACGAAAAACTCAGCATATTAAGTGTCAAATAGGCTTTATTACAGCATATTGAGTAACAACAAGTAAGCGATTTCTGTAAAAAAAAAAAAAAAAAAAAAAAAAAAAAAAAAAACNCTTTCGCGGTGTTTTAGCAAAGAGACGAAAAACTCAGCATATTAAGTGTCAAATAGCCAAATAAATAGGCTTTATTACTGCATATTGAGTAACAACAAGTAAGCGATTTCTGTTAAAAATAAAATTATCGACAGAAATATCAGATGTGTGACATTATCTTTTTACAACCATTTTGTATAACTCCGATTTATATGAATCGTTACATACACTCGTTTTGTCATGAATACATTACGCGTATGAAGTTTATTATCGCGTTTATTCCGTGGATCATATTTTCACGATCACGGTATTGACCCCCGAAATCACGTAAATATCTTTCAAGTAGAAATATTCTGCCGTATGGTATCATACATATAAGCTTCACAAAAGAACAGGAAATCATTAAGTCCCAGTGCCGATCGAACTCTGAAACCGGGACGAAATCCCCCCATTTTAAAAATCCCACCAAAATAATAAACTGATATTCCAATTCTTAACGAAAGAAACTGATTAATCAATCAAACAATATACCAACTAACGATACTCATCCACAGGGGTTAAAACTCAATATTACAATACGCCAAGTTAGAGTATTATGCCTGCAACTAAAATTTTTATTTCCATAAGGACCATTTATCAGATTCTGCTGAATGTGAATGTGGTTTTGAAAAGGAAACAAGTAATCACTATTTTGTTTTGTGCCAGATACATTGTATAATATCCCCAGATAACTACTCTCAGCGTCCCTAACTATTGATACTCTACACTGCGTTGTAAACATTCCAGATGATGGACAATGTGTGATGGTGATGCAAAGATTAAAAAACACCCTAATATGTAATTCTTTAACAACGGAATGATCTCCCCTCTACCACTGACTGGTGTACCGATATAACCAGTTTCCAGTTTCTATAAATTATAATACTAATGCATTCAAATACATATCTTCCTCCAGTACGAGAAAACTGATATAGGCATAACCTGTTGTTTAACCCCTTTCATGTAACATGTTTGAATAAAATTCGTTGATATGAAATATTCCTTGTTTAAGAAGTTTTAAAGTCCCAGTCGAATGGCTATGCCTTGTTCAATCCAAAACGTTTCTGAAGAGATGTGTTACTACAAAACAAGAATTGGTGTTATGTTACAATATCTAATGGAGATACTTCATTCTGCTTCACTTCACAGGCGCACTTTTGTTAGTGATAAGGTAATTTTGTCTTTACCTACCTAGGTAAAACGAACTAACAAGCGCCTTTCACACCATAACTTTATGCTTGGTAACCTTATCACCATAGGGGCTTAACCATAACATTATCATCTTATCAATTGCGTCACACACTTAAGTGCTGTTGATGCGGTTCCGGTTGTATCCTTTCGTATGGTTTTGAAATCCGATTGTCATTCTCCTGTGTAAACGGTACACCATTTGAGGGTTTATGCTAAATTCTGGACGAAGGCCGACTGCAGTCGGTAGATTTCACGTTATCTGCCCAGATCAACCTGACATATCCACCAAATGTAAACAAAATACATAGAAGTTTGAAAAGGAGTAGAATAGGCCAATAAGTTAATTTAAACCTTGTTCCGTTGGTTATTTTAAAAGTGGGCCAGAAGGCAAAGGCATAGAACTCGCTTTTACGGATATGACGAGCAATACGCCTATTTAGGAACACACATTTGAATATATATGTGAAGCCTTGGAAAGATCTATAGATGTATAGTGAAAATACGTTTTTAGAGTATTTATTTTTGGAAAAAATAAGCTTTGTTAGTTATTGTTTAATGCTGGATTATCAAATTATCAAGTTTCCCGATGAGCCATTAACTCGGTTGGATATTTTTATTCGAGCAACTGGTTACTAAATCCCGACCGGTTTGACTACCCTAATATTTCCCAACGTTTCAAAGACAACAAAGATTTAATTTAAGTGAAAATTTATTTAATGTCATCAATATTTGTATATAAATATCATCAAAAATGTTTGAAATTCAAACGAAAAGATTCAGTTCACTTCCATGAGTTATAGTATAGTACATAATTGAGTGAGGTCCTCCTAGCACAGTTAAAAAACCCAACAAAGATGTGCATTAAACGTCAACGTCATATGAGTTTTTGGTACGGATGGCGAGGGTTTACCTTCCAAGTATCATGCCAGTGCTTATGGCTAGCCATCGCAGGATGTTTTAACAATTTGTTTTCCTAGTGATAAGCTGGCTAGCACCCCAGAGCCTGATATTTCAATGTTCCAGTTGTGAGTTGCTGTATGTGTTATACACGCATTACATATATTCAACCCAAATCTCCAAAAGCATCTGATGCATTGACGTGATGTGTTTTGTCGTTTGTTTACTCAAACATTTATCTGTTTGTGGCATCAGCCCAATGACCTTCACATTATGTCGTGGCACTAGAGGAAAAAAGAAGGATTATACGAAGTCTGAATAAGCTAAACAATGAAAATGGGTATCTACTTGGTACTTTGGACACTTGTTATGTGTTGAATTATTGAATTTAGAGTAAATTTAGGTATGCCTTATATTCTATTAAATGTATTAGATATACAGATTAAATTTCGAAAACAAAACTAGCTGAATCATTGATACAAATGGAGCAAGTACAAGTATTCAAAACATGTACGAGCTTTGTATGTACTAATTGTATACAAAATGAAAAAAGAGTAAACAATTTGAGATTAACTTGGTGCTTATCTCGTGAAAGATCATCTAAACAGCTTGTTAACTGTAGTTTATCTAAAGTTTATAGCTTATCTATAGCTTATCTATAGTTTATCTATAGTTTATAGTTTATCTATAAAGTATAGCTTATCTATAGTTTATCTATAGCTTATCTATAGTTTAAAGCTTATCTATAGTTTATCTATGGATAAAAAAAGGAGTAAACGTCCATGTAAAGGAAGTAAATATAGAAAAAATAAGATTAACGACCGACTAAAAAACTTATCTATAGTTTATATATAGCTTATCTATAGTTTATATCTTATTTGTAGTTTATAGATTATCTATAGTTTATAGATAGCTTTTCTATAGTTTATCTATAGCTTTTCTTTAGTTTATCTAAAGTTTATAGCTTATATATAGTTTATCTATAAATTATAGCTTATCTATAGTTTATAGCTTATCTATAGTTTATCGTTTATCTATAGTTTATAGCTTATCTATAGTTTGACGTTTATCTATAGTTTATAGCTTATCTATAGTTTATAGCTTATCTATAGTTTATCGTTTATCTATATTTTCTAGCTTACCAACATTTTAAAGCCTATCTATATTTTATAGCTTATCTATAGTTTATATCTTATCTATAGTTTATAGCTTATCTATAGTTTATAGCTTATCTATAGCTTATACATAGTTTCTAGCTTATATATTGTTTATATTATCTATAGTTTATAGCTTATCAATAGTTTATCTATAGTTTATCTATAGCTTATCTATAGTTTATGTATATTTTATGTATAGATTATAGCTTATCTATTGTTTATAGCTTATCAATAGTTTATCTATAGTTTATCTATAGCATAACTATAGTTTATCTATAGCTTATCTATAGTTTATCTATAGCTTATCTATAGTTTATCTATAGTTTATCTATAGCTTATCTATAGTTTATGTATATTTTATGTATAGTTTATAGCTTATCAATAGTTTATCTATAGTTTATCTATATCTTATCTATAGTTTATGTATATTTTATGTATAGATTATAGCTTATCTATAGTTTATCTATAGCTTATCTATAGTTTATGTATATTTTATCTTTAGTTTATAGCTTATCTATAGTTTATCTATAGTTTATAGCTGATCTATAATTTATCTATAGTTTATAGCTTATCTATAATTTATCTATCTCCATTTATGCATGTTCTTTGTCTAAGTGATATACTTATATATGCTTAGGGACAGAATGAGTGATTTTGTTTACACATCAATCATCCCCAGTATTAAGCGTGTTTGTTAAAGGATTGGTGGTTAAGGATGAGCTGATGCTGCCACAAAAGTTTCGGCATTTGCCTTCGATTAAAGTAATGATGCATGTGTTCAAGTTCATAATTGTAGTTCAGTATTTGAGCTAGGATACAGATATCTGGAATGGAAGTTTACCAGGTTTCTAAAGTAATTAAGATGTTGTTTTTCTTCAAAAAACAAATCATCTGTATTGAACAAATTTTCTTATTTTATGCTTGAATAAGTGTTTAGTTTCACAATACTAATCTTTAATAGGTTAACATAGTTATTGTTGGCATCGTAGTTTAATGTAGGTGAAAAATGAATGAATGTTCCTTCACATGAAGATCTCTTAGTTCTAGAGAAGAGGTTGCTCAAAGCAATACATCTTCGCTAGCCAAGTGTTCGCTTCGTATACACTCCACTTACCCCTGGCGGATTTAGCCTTGTTAACCGAGCCTTCAAATTTTCGTGCAGAGCCAATCGCTCGCATCCAATGAAATCGCGTCTTACACATAGCGCTGATGTTAAATAAGTTGGTGGACATCCTTGACGACGTGCCACATGTAAATGCTGAACTGGGAAAATGTGTGTGCTGCTTTGGATTGTTTCCATATTGCTTTTTCATTTATACTCCACCTTGACATACACGTGCTTATATCAACACGCCGTTGAGTATGTATGTAACGGTCATTCTGATTGGTTAAAAGTTTGTCGAGAGAAGAGCGATAACTCGGTATATCCGCTAGATGGCAGTGCAGGGATTTATAAAAACACGGCTATATCCGCCAAGGGTACGTGAAGTGTATACGAAGCGAACACTTGGCTAGTAAAGAAGAAAGCAATAGAGAAAATTAACCCTTTTTGGCAACGTCCCTCAACCCCCTGGGGGCCTGCCCTACTATTTGTACAATTTTTGTCCCCGCTATACCTAGGGATGCTTTCAGCCAAAATACGGTTGATATCCATCATTTAGTTCCAGAGAAGAAGTTGCTTAAAGCAATATAGCCAAATAACCCTTTTTGGCCTGCCCCTCAGCCCCCTGGGGGTCAGCTCCACCATTTGTACAATTTTGAATCCCAACCACCAAGGGATGCTTCTAGTCAAATGTAGTTAAATTCTTATCAGTGTTTAAGAAGAAGAAGTCGTTTGAAGAAATTGTTGACGTACGGATCGATCCCGGACGACGGACGCAACGGTATGGCATAAGCTCACCTTGGTCCTTTGGCCCCGTTGACCTATAAATGTAACTTAAATGATAAATGACTATTGCCTCATGATGACTCTCATCTATAATTGATTTGAATAGCATTCCATCTCTACCGCAGCTTATAGTTTGTACGTCAATATAAAACAAAATTATCCCTTAGGTCGAGCGCTAAAGACCTCACCATACTAATATATATTGAATTGTATATTACATTATTGAAAAATTAAAGAAAACCCCCTGAAACTTACACTTTGCAAATTAAAACTAGAATTTTGTCAATGTGACATTAAAGCCGCTCACCACTTTAAATCTAATTCCTTCAGTAACACGTTGAGCATCAATATCTACTATAATACCTCAGATATGTGTTTTGCTAATTAAAAAACAGGTCATGTAATGATGTTGCCTTTGGAATTTCCAAAATCAATCACCTCTTAAATGATGCCTTAAAAACATTTCACCCTCTTTAAGTGTGACGCATTGTTGTAATTTTCATTAATTAGCATCCTCCGATGATGCGAAATAAACATTTACGTGCATAATGGCAATCGGTGAATGGATGATAAAGAATAGGTGCCTGAAATGAAGGATCATTAACAGTTGTGGGAAAACATGCATAGATAAAAGAGACAATGCACTCCTTTTATTTTTATTTATTTTTTATTCATATTAATAATAATTATTCATATATATAGTGACTTTATTTCCTGTCATTTGAATATACAAAATCTCACAAATGTTCTTGGAATATATTTGAATTATATTTACCAATGCGACTTTACCAACGTAAGAGTTATTTCCCTAACACCGGATTGGATAATATTTTGACACAGCGCGAATTCTTGTCAAACAGCAGCGGCAGTTGTGTCATGTTCTTAAATTGTTACATTTTCATAAATACATACACCAGAAAAAAGTATGAAGTATATATGCAACCCCTTTTCGAGTTACTAAAAGCTCCAAATTACATTGGCTGCAATACAGAATAAACCAACACATATTAACAACAAATTCATATTTATTCAAAATTGGTTTAACTGATAGTCCACTCTGTTTCTTTTGTAAAACAGAAATAGAAACAATTATACATTTATTTTGGGAGTGCAGAGAAGTGCAGACATTTTTTGAGAACTTTGAATTTTTATTAGATGCTCTATTGATTCCATTTACTTTTAATAAAGAAACTTTAATTTTTGGCATGCACAATGATAAAAATATATACTACACAACAGACAATCTTATATTAATCATTATGAAACAATGCATTTATAGAGCAAGATGTTTACAGCAAACTTTATCTGTGTTAGCTTTAAAATCTATTATAAAAGATAATTATGTGACTCAAAAATATATTTGCGTTAGCAAGGGTAATGAGAATGTAGCAAAGTTTAATAATATATGGAAAAAAGGAATAAGCTGCTAGAAATAACACCCAACCCCTGACCGGACGAAATAAGAAATTATCTATGATACTTTTCTAATTTCTAATGTGTGAGTGTGCATATGTGCGGCTGTGTGGGTGAGTATGTGCGGCTGTGTGGGTGAGTATGTGCGTCTGTGTGGGCGAGTATGCGTGCGGAGCGGTAAAATGGGGTGTATGTTTATATAATTCATTATATTTTTGTTTTTATACAAATATGCATAAATTATCAGCAGTAATATATGTAATTGGATCTGATAATTAATGGAGGTATTAGTGATAAAAACTGAGGATGTTGTTGGTGATCATGATTTTAGGTCAGCAATGATAATGTTGATGATGATTTTATAACTGATGAGGATGATGATGTATTATTGTTGACAAGGACTGACTATCATGATAATGGTGTAGATGGATGAATTATATTTATCATCATGATGATGATAGTTTTAAAATGATTAGGAATGCTGAAAATTAATTGTTGAAATTGATGATGTAATCATTGCTTGATTGACGTGAATGATAATGATAGAAAAAGTTGATGAGGAAACTTGTTGATGATGATGATGATGATGATGATATGATGATGATGATGATGATGATGATGATATTATGATGATGATATAATGATGATGATGAATGTTGAAAGTTGATTGATGAATATTATGATGTGATCAATGATTGATATTGATGTGAATGATGAATGTTATATGACAATGATGATGATGATGGAAATGATAAAGATGGCTGATGGCGATGGTTTTAAGAATGGATATATATATATATAGATGCTTATGATGAAGATGAAGAATAGATGAAGATGATGTTTATTGTGATATTGGAAATGTATGATGGTGTTGATTGCTTTAATGTTGATGATTTATTTAGAGAAATAAAACAATTACAAATATATATATATATTTGAATTATATTTACCAATGCGACTTTACCAACGTAAGAGTTATTTCCCTAACACCGGATTGGATAATATTTTGACACAGCGCAAATTCTTGTCAAACAGCAGCGGCAGTTGTGTCATGTTCTTAAATTGTTACATTTTCAGAAATACATACACCAGAAAAAAAGCATGCTGTGTTAAAGAAATGTTTGATAAGCTTACACGGTTCCCATATCGTCTCGTCTCAGAGCCATTACCGTTATCAAACTAAGCACGATTTGTCAGATTATTACCCTGAACGGAAGAGGTCCGTCATTTCGTTCTCTGGACAGAATTAATAAGCCGCTCGGCTTAAAAAAAAAAAAAAGGGGGGGGGGGGGGAAACCCAGGTCATGCCAAGAAAGTTGCATCCCTGCTTCACGCCTTTGGTGTAGCAAAGAGACATCAAAGATCAAAGACATAATTACAACAAGTTATGGATAACATTATTATCTTACACCTTCCAGAAATCGTTGACATTTAGGAAAGATGTGTGAGAGCCCTCCAACCTGAGAGCACCATATTAGTCAGGGACTGAACCAGGGCTTTTCAAACTTTGGTACTATAAACTATACCTCATATACATAAACAATCGTATTGTATATCTTCAATGAAATAGGAACATTTGTATCTACCCAAGTGAAATGTTTAAACATTGTGTAAACATTTATTTAACATCAAAGCACTCCCAGTAAATTGTCTAAACCTTATGTTAACATCACAGCATCCCAGTAAATTGTTTTCACCTTGCGTTAACATCAAAAGCACTCCCAGTAAATTGTTTTCAACCTTATGTTGACATCACATCACTCCCGGTAAATAGTATTCACCTTGTGTTAATATCAAAGCATTCCCAATTAATTGCCTTCAACCTTATGTTTATATCAAAGCACTCCCAGTTAATTGTCTTCAACCTTATGTTAACATCAGGGCACTCCCAGTAAATTGTCCTCAACCTTATGTTAACATCAAAGCACTCCCAGTAAATTGTCTTCAACATTATGTTAACATCAAAGCACTCCCAGTAAATTGTCCTCAACCTTATGTTAACATCTAAGCACTCCCAGTTAATTGTCTTCAACCTGATGTTAACATCACAGCACTCCCAGTTAATTGTCCTCAACCTTATGTTAACATCAAAGCACTCCCAGTGAATTGTCTTCAACCTTATGTTAACATCAAAGCACTCCCAGTAAATTGTCCTCAACCTTATGTTAACATCTAAGCACTCCCAGTTAATTGTCTTCAACCTTATGTTAACATCAAAGCACTCCCGGTAAATTGTCTTCAACCTTATTTAACATCAAAGCACTCCCAGTAAATTGTCCTCAACCTTATGTTAACATCAAACACTCCAAGTAAATTGTCCTCAACCTTATGTTGACATCGTAGCACTCCCGGTAAATAGTATTCACCTTGTGTTAACATCTAAGCACTCCCAGTTAATTGTCTTCAACCTTATGTTAGCATCAAAGCACTCCCGGTAAATTGTCCTCAACCTTATGTTAACATCAAAGCACTCCCAGTAAATTGTCTTCAACCTTAGTTAACATTAAAGCACTCCCAGTAAATTGTCCTCAACCTTATGTTAACATCAAAGCACTCCAAGTAAATTGTCCTCAACCTTATGTTGACATCGCAGCACTCCCGGTAAATAGTATTCACCTTGTGTTAACATCTAAGCACTCCCAGTTAATTGTCTTCAACCTTATGTTAGCATCAAAGCACTCCCGGTAAATTGTCCTCAACCTTATGTTAACATCAAAGCACTCCCATTTAAAATGTCTTCAACCTTATGTTAACATCACAGCACTCCCGGTAAATTGTCCTCAACCTTATGTTAACATCAAAGCACTCCGAGTTAATTGTCTTCAACCTTATGTTGACATCACAGCACTCCCGGTAAATAGTATCCACCTTGTGTTAACATCACAACACTCCCGATAAATTGTCTCCATCTTTGATCATCAAAGTCCGCACAGCACTTTGTTTTTACCTTGTGTTAACACTCCCAATTATTTTTTATATACACGGGAAGCCACTTCGGGACTTGCATATACCCTTTCAGTCGGGTTTTAGAAATTTTATTATAATAAAATATATTAAATTGCATATATTATGTTATTAGAAAGTTATTAACAATAATGATAGTTACTTCTAATGAATTTTACACTTTGTCTTGAAATCACAGTACTCCCGGTTAATTGTCTAAACCTGTGTTAATATCACATTTATCCTAGTAAAGTTATTTACACAGCAGTTTACATTATGTTCCGATGCCTTGGTATTTGGGATGTTTTCACGCAAAAGTGATTTGTAGTATTCTGCATCAGTCACATTTAGATCGTGATGTAATCTTCATCATCAGAATCGGAATAACTGCTATCCTCCATGCTATTTTGTAATTTCATGGTATTTTTGGAGTTAATTGTGCTCGATAGCTCCATCTGTTGCTCCATCTGTTTCATCTGTGAGCTTTTATTGATTGCAAAAGGAAGGTTTACATATATTACCGAGTCATCTGTGAAGAGATCGCTCTTTTTGTTGGTTGCTGCTGCGGTTGCAGGTTTGCGCTTCAACCATACCATCTCCTCCGGTTTGGAATAACCGTCACTATTTCGGCTTGACGTCATTTTGGTATTACCAGGTACTTTTATGTACCCATCATTTTCCTGAGATTTGGTTCTGCCTAATGGTGATTTTGATTTCGGGGTTTGAAATGACCCCGCCACTGCGACTTCAGGCATGTCATAGTCGGATATAGGTTCAAAGTAAGGGTTTTCTTCATCAAACCTTGACTTATCACAATCTAAATTCGGTTTAAAATAAGAAGGTTCGTCATTTTTCGAATGCCCAGACTCCTCGCTTGGTATGAAATAAGGATTTTCATCGTCAGTGCACAAAATATTTTGTATTTGTGAACGCGATATTTGTTCAACATGACCAAACTCAGATGTAGGCTCAAAGTAGATATCATCCTCAAGTTGTTGAATGCCTAGCTTCGATGGGGCTCTGGGAGGCTGATTTGATCTCTGTTGTCTGTTTGTATTTGGTACTGAGTCCAGTTTTGAAGCATCTATATAACAGTCATCATCTCCCGTACTTCCTATATCAAAACTTTCCTTTGGTTTGCGAAGAAACTTTCCCACCAAATCATAATCCGACTCAGGACGTAGTGGCAAGTCTTTGGGAGAGTCATAATCCTGATCATCGTCACTGCTTTCGTGGCTCTGTGACGTCAAACCCGGGAATGGCATTTTCTGCCTATCTAGGGCCATACTTCTCTTGTTTTCTTGTGCAGATATTGAAAGCAGTTTTTCAACTTGTTTATGTCGTGGTGCTGGAAATGGGGGAACAGATTCGGGAACAGTATCATAATCCGAATCACTATCGTCACTGCTGCTGAACTGTTGTTGATTCATCAGGTTTTCATTATTTTCCACTACAACTACTGGGAGGAGGCCTTTCTTTCTTACCCCGACGTTTGCATAGCCGTATTCATCTACATCGAGTTTATTTCTAGTAGGTAGTTCCGGACATTGTTTGTGAACAGTTGACCTGTCGCAGTATGGCGAAGACTGCGTTTTCTGGAGCTGGGTGTTAGGTGAACCTGTCCTTGTCTTACCATAATCAGAACTTCCGAGTGTGTTTGATCTGTATTGCGAATGTGTGTTCGGGCTCCTTTGGAAAGGATCAGGTGTATGTGATCGGGTCTTCGATTTATATGGCATTTGCTCGGATTTTTTATCAGTAGGGATACTGATGGAACGATCTCGTGTAGGAGAAACAGGAGGTGCCGGCTCGACCCCAGGGTAACTGTCGGATTTTCTCAACGTTTTTCTTGGAGCTGTTACAAATATTACAAAAACGTATTGATAAATATATCTGATAATACAAAACGATAAAAATTTACAAAGCTACTAAAGACCATGTCGTACCTTAATACTTTTCGGACTTGCTTGAATCTTTGCATTTTAAAGTGAAAATTTAATGATTCTCTGTATGAGGGAAATAAATAGCTAAATGTTACGAAATAACGCTTTGTGTATCACCATTTATGCTCCAAAGTACACCTTTAAAACATGTATTAAAACGAATGCATATTTATAAGTAACCTGGTCAGCCATATTTACTGACGAAAGCAGTTTACAGGATACTTTATGTAATTATATTCTGTTATTAAAGGTATTTTTAATAGAGAAAAAGACAAAACTTACATTTGCCGCCTGTGATGGCCTTTCTAAATTTCTCCGCTTCATCTTTGGAAGGCGCTACAAACTGAAATGTTGATATACAATTCATTAAAACTGGCACTGAGCAATTGATGTAAGGCAGTCAAGTACAGATATAGAACCGATCTGCACCCAATTCACATAGATAAACAGCAAGCATCAAATAAATGCAACGGGAACCACACGCTTTATTCACAGACAACTGTTTAATAGGTGGGTAATATTGCATAGTATTATCCCACGGGGTATTGGGCATAGGTTATCAGGTTTCCGATGAACGAAAATTTTGCTAAATGCACTCTCATGTATGCAATATTTGTTTTATTGTATAAATAGCAACTTGCAATTGTCCTCCTATCCTGTTTTTAGGTTGATGTAATTAATGTCATATGTATGGTTTATAGATCCTTCACTACTAGAAACGTTTTGTTGACTAGTGAAGGGATCACTTAGAAACACACACACCATGTACTCTAAATGTTGGCACATGTATCATGTTTTAAATGTTTCCCTGAAATGCACGATCTTTAAAACGAGATAGTTATGTTAAAAAAGCACATTGTTCTCAATCATGCAGATAACTAATGGTATACTTATGTACTGCCCTGTACGCCCAGTGGCGTGTAGGGCATCAACTAATGGTATAATGGTATGAAAATTATCTAATCATCTTAATATAACAAAAATATCTTTTCATGATAATAATATCACCAAAAACAAACCAAACAACAACCAAAACGTAACAAAAATTGAAGAACCTGTGTTGCTACAACATACCTCATAAGGGCGCTTTCCTTCACAAACAATGGCAAATGACAAATTACCCAGCTTACGGAAGGAATAACCTAATGTACAAGAAAATAAAAGAAAGAAAAAAGTTTAATTTGTCGAGAGCAGATTTGACTATTTTGAGTATTAAATGTGACTAGTGGTGAGTACATTGAAATCGCCTTTCTTTAGTGGTACCTAACGTAAAATGCTCTCTGTAGGTTTCAATTAGCAGATTCATCTTTATACCGTACGTAAACTATCCTTGTATACAGAGCGGAGTATCGTTATATGTTTGTGATACGTGTCAGGTGGCAAACAGGAGAAATGTACCTCAACAAGAAAAATATCTGTCTTTGTAATTCCTTATTTGATTATGTATAATCGAAATTAATTGAACTCGATTCCAAAATATTTTGTTTTCAAACTACAATAACATAAATAACAATTTTTAGTTTGTGTTGCTAAAATGATTTTTAGGATTGAAATATGTTTTTACTTTCATAATGGTATTCAACAGAGTTGCGAAAACTGTATATTTTAGCATGTGCTAGTCTGCTTATGATTACTTTTAAATACAAAATAAGAATATTTTGGAATATTTTGTTTTTAAATCAATTTAAATATTTATCTATAAAGATAAATAAAGACAAAATTGTATGTATTACTAAAATAAACTGAACAATCTAAAAAGCATTGGTGCCGTGTTTGGACATATTCACATACTACAGTTATCATGTGTAGACCGTTACACTCGGTAAAAACCGTTACACTCGGTTATAATAAACCGTTACACTCGGTATAAACTACTCGAGGTGAATTGAATGTTACCTTTCAGGCTGAAGCATCCCTTCTGTCTTATGTCAGTGCACTTGTTGAAGTAATAGAAATTACCGCCATGGATAACACACCACCTCTTTTGTAGCTTTTCACTCCGAAACTTCTTGTCTGAGGAAAGGACAACAGATATGAACAGGTTAAAAAACGGATTCTCACAGCCATAATTATAACATCATTCTAGCATTTTTATTTTGAATATTCGAGAATAATAATTTCACATGGGTGTGGTCAGAGTACCGGACAGCCCAACCCTTATCCGAGGGATGACATATCCCTGTCTACGGACCACACCTATGTTTGATTCTTCACTATCTTACACTAATACATATAGCTAAGGGGTCTTATATGACTTTCAATTACGCATTATATTAAGAAACGAGTCTTAAAATTGATATATTTGGAAACGTCCTATATAATTCCATTCGAAACGTCGTTAACAATTCCATTAGAAACGTTCTATATAATTCCATTATACAATTCCATTGGAAACGTCCTGTACAATTCCATTGGAAACGTCCTATAAAATTTCATTGGAAACGTTTAGTACAATTCCATTGGAAACGTCCTCTACAATTCCGTTGGAAAGGTCCTATACAATTCAATTGGAAACGTCCTATACAATTCCATTGGAAACGTCCTGTACAATTCCACTGGAAACGTCCTGTACAATTCCATTGGAAACGTCCTGTACAATTCCATTGGAAACGTCCTCTGCAATTCAATTGGAAACGTCCTATACAATTACATTGGAAACGTCCCGTACAATTCCACTGGAAACGTACTATACAATTCCATTGGAAACATCCTTTACAATTCCATTGGAAACGTCCTATACAATTCTATTGGAGACGTCCTATATAATTCCATTGGAAACGTCCTGTACAATTCCATTGGAAACGACCTCTACAATTCAAATGGAAACGTCCTGTATAATTCCATTGGAAACGACCTCTACAATTCAAATGGAAACGTCCTATACAATTGCACTGAAAACGTCTGGTTTAATTCCATTGGAAACGTTCTATACAATTCCATTGGAAACGTTCTTTACAGTTCCATTGGAAAGGTCCTTTACAATTCCATTGGAAACGTTCTGTACAATTCCATTTGAAATGTTCTTTACAGTTCCATTGGCAAACGTCCTATACAATTTCATTGGAAACGTCCTATACATTTCCATTGGAAACGTCCTCTACAGTTCCATTGGAAACGTCCTGTACAATTCCATTGGAAACGTCCTGTACAATTCCATTGGAAACGTCCTCTACAATTCCATTGGAAACGTCCTCTATAATTCCATTGGAAACTTCCTCTACAATTCCATTGGAAACGTCCTGTACAATTTGAAACAATTCAATCTTTCTGTACAATTCCATTGGAAACGTCCTGTACAATCTATTGGAAATGTCCTCTACAATTCCATTGGAAACGTCCAATACAATTCCATTGGAAACGAATTTAAGATATTTTTATTACAAAGTCAGTTTTGCAAGTTTTGTGAATTTGGACATTTTCGAAGGCTTTATTCAGTTATCATTGCTCTCCACGTTGAAACACAAAATATATGACATGAGTATTCACTGAATCACACGTTGATAATCTAATACATAGTGTTTCTTGTCACTACGCTAACAACATACTTAGCATAACTCAACATTACACTACACTAAAATCTACCTAGAACATTTAACTAAGCTGGTTAAACAAAAAACGTAGTATAACTCTACGCTACGAGAGCCACTCCAACACGTTCTAAACAAGAGGCCCAGAGAGCCTGTATCGCTCACTTTGATATCTAAGCAATCATGGCAAAACATTCTCCAAATGATATCAAAGGGAATATGCAAGACCCCACGGCCAATCCTGGATCAATTCATAAATAATAACTGCATTCGTCTCTTTTTGCCCAGGATTTGTATTTATAATTCTGGGGTGGGGATCTCAACCGTTTCTAAGTTATAACCCAGATGTTAAGTCTGCAAAGGTGGGGCAGACCCTGGAATCAATTCTAATATCATGACTGCATTCGTCTCTTTATGCCAAACAATTGTATATATAGTTTTGGGGTGGGGATCTTAACCATTTCGAAGTTATGACCGAGGGCTTAAGTCTCCAAGGGTGGAGCAGACCCCAAGGCCATCATGGAAAAGTATGTGCATTCATTTCTTTAAACTTAGCATTTGTATATATATGGTTATAGGGTGGGGATTTCAACTGTTTCCAAGCTGTGACAAAGAAACTTTGTCCCTAGGGGTTCAGTCAGACCCCACGGTCTATTCTTTTATCATGACTGCATTCGTCTCTTTATGCCCAGCAGTTGTATATATAGTTTTGGGGAGGGGATTTCAACCATTTCAAAGTTATGACCCAGGGACAATGTCTCAAAGGATGGGGCAAGCCCTAGGCCATACTGGAAGCAAATGTGCATTCTTCTCTTTATACTTTACAATTGTATTTATGGTTAAACGATGGGGATCTCAACCATTTCCAAATGATACACTTATTTTGGCAACACCCCTTGGCCCGGGGGTTAGCCCCAAAAAATATACAATTGTGAATCCCCACCACCTAGGGATGCTTCCAGTCAAATATGGGTGATATCCATCTTTTTGTTCCAGAGAAGAAGTCGCTTAAAGCAATATAGCCAAATTGCCCCCTTTTGGCCCCGCCCCTCAGCCCCCTTGGGGGTCAGCCCCACCATTTGTACAATTTTGAATCCCTACCTCATATAATTTCTTCCAGTCAAATTTAGTTAAATTCCAATCCGTGGTTGAGAAGAAGAAGTCGTTTAAAGAAATTGTTGACGGACGGACGACGGACGCCATAGTATGGCATAAGCTCACCTTGGACAAGTTGGACCTTCGGACCCGGTGAGCTAACAATGCAATATGCACCTCTTTATTAACATTAATGAATTAATGAACTTTTAAATGATGAATTCATCTATTGAAGAAGGAGCCAATTGACAACATATAGTGTTGGCAGGTTTATTTGACCACATTTGTTGGTTGTCCTTAGTGAGGATTTAGATAAGACATGCGTCGAAAAAAACTAACTTAAAACTTTACTTCATATTTTGAAGATTAAGCAAGACCTTTCCGCCTTAACTGTTTATATCAACTGATGGGGAGTCTTGGTTTCAATTCTGAAATTTTATCGTACATTGTCATGTTGCGACACATTGTTTGACAACACACATATCCTATGTACCAGACTAGCCAGTATTAACACGTTTATGCTGAAGGTTTACGGTAACTTACTTAAGGAAATGGGTATCGTGTAATTTCTTTGTTACTCTCCATGTCTGTATTTTCTTCCTTGTACAACAATATCTCTGTGAGGGATTTTATGAAACACTTTATCAGAAAGACAATGCACAATATAACCCGTTCACAGGGAATGGGCGTGTCATTTCTAACGTTATATCCATAAGGACAAAACGGTCAATAGTCACAATCAAGGGCACAATAATGTTCTCTTTCTTGGGTGTTCAAATTAGCTAAAACCACAATCACCGTGAAGTTGGAGTCAACCAAAAAATTATATAATTTATTACGAGCATTCGTAACAATTCTTACGTTAAACAGTACAGTGTTGCCTAATAACTGTTCAGTTTTATTAGTAATGACATATAACCAACCACTTAACTATTGTTTCAAGGGTCAATTAGGTACAAAATATATCAGATTGGATCTTGTTTGTGTGTTGGAATTTGAACTTTGATAATGTTCAAATGCTTTGAACAATGTTTTAATACATTTATAAATCAACTTACATTAATTCGATCGTTTTCAAGTATGTTGTTCTTCAATTACTGAAACTCACATTACGCTACGTAACATATAATAAGTGCTCTAATATAGCTAAACTCTTAAAACACAAACTGACTCAAGCAATCTAAGCTTGAATACACACATGTACATCTTCAATTAACTTAGTGTCAATTTCACTCCACGTTAAGGCAATGTTTACATCGTTTCTTTGACCTGATACATCGACATTAAATAACAGCATCAGCGCTATCTTTGACAGGGACTGTGGACAAAATCAGAACTGTCGAACTGAACGCTAGGAATCGGCTGTAGATAGATATGGGGATAGTACGGAAACATATGTAACCCAAAAGTAAACTAGTATGTCCCTTAGTAAATTGATCTATTGCTAAAGTAATATTTTGAAAACCTATTAATATATAAAATATTACATAAGGCCATTCATTGGTAAAGTGTAAACACATGCATACATATACCAAGGAATGATTGGTCACAAGCTGACATACGAGCAGAGATATTTACCTTTCCGTTTTTTCTCCAGGTATCCTTCTGCAGTTGGATGTGCCAGATCATCGACTCCAACAATTGGGAGGTGTTCTAAACACACAGAGAAATTGTAGATGTACCAATACACTTTCTTTATAGATGAATTTTGTTATCCAAAAATATGATTATTGAAATAAAGTAGAATTATTGTATTGATATACATTGTGTTGGTAAGAATGTTTAGTATACTTGAATACGTATAAAACAGTACATATAAAATGCATACAAGAGTACCGCGGGGTGGACCAAAATACGTCGGTCCAATGCCATATAGTGTTATATACTTCTTACATTGAAATAGGATCTACATCATTCTAAGAGTGGTTAGCTGATATGCTATAAAAAATGTGGGAGAAAATCTTTGGACAAAAAATCAAATACTGAAATGAACAAAAGGCAATACCTTTTGCAAACATCGTCGAATCGAAATTCTTTTAAGGGAGACACAACTTCATATCATGATTATAAAGTATACTAAGTTTCAAAGAGATTCGTTGAAAAAATGTAGGAGGAGATTGCCGGACAAAAATCAAATACTGTGATAAACAAAAGGCAATAACTTTTGGAAAAATTGTTGAAACAAAATTCTTTTAATGGAGACACAACTTCATATCATGATTATAAAGTATACCAAGTTTCAAATAGATCGGGCGAAAAATGTAGGAGAAGATCTCTGGATAAAATTCAAATACTGAAATGAGCAAAGGGCAATAACTTTTGGAAAAATTGACGAATCAAAATTCTTTTAAGGGGGACACAACTGCATATCATGATTATGATGTAAACCAAATATCAAAGAGATCGGTCGAAAAATGTAGAGGATCGAGATTGCCAGACAAAGTTTACGCCGGACGGACAACGCCATACCATAATACTACCGTCAAATTTGATGGTTGTATAAAAACACAATAAATATATCAAATCATTTCGATAAAATCCATCTAAGTTTTCATCATATTCTAAATGGTAGAAGTGACATTGTTAATGATAGGTTCTCAATGGGTTTTGTTTAACTTTGATGTAAGGGTACATGTCAAAATGTCTTATTTGAAACAGCTGTTTGAACCGAACAACTTTGTTACAGATTTGTGTCTGTAGGTCTAATGTAAAGCAAAGTTTACCTTCGAAATGGTCTCTTTTTGTTTACTTTACGTGTTGTTTTACGTCTAAGCATAATGATTTGTAGGGTAGTTATGCGTACATCTGAACGTACTAGCAGCCAAAACACAGGGATTGCCCTTATCTAACTGCAACTTCCTGTATATACACATGTATTCAGCGAAATATCAAAATAACAATTATTATAGCGGACTTCAACTCTGCCGACATCCTGTTTCAGACTTCAACAGTTAAGTACAGTTAGAAGCAAACTTAACTTGGTATCTTGTGCACTTCGTAGTGTACATGTAGTGAACAAGGGAGTGCACTTCACAAAACATTAAAGTGCACTCCAGTTCACTTCAGTGTGAAAAAAGATGTGAAATCCAGGGCACAAAGTGACAAGCTAGTGCATATCATAGAAACAACAATTAGGCTGGGGTGGGATACTACTCATCATCATTACACAATTAACAGCTAACTTATATAGATACTTGTCGGTCATGTTAGCATTCTCTTACTGGCAAACCGGGTATTTCGTTAAATACATGCAAGCGAAGGTATTTCATCGGAAGTTTCAATACCTACAGACAAATTGAACATCTCGCCATTTAGTCTTCATCACATTTGATATGAATATTGATGTAGTGACCCAATAAAAATAACCTATACCAACAGGTGTATTTAAAGTTTATGGGATTCCCTGGTCAGACCTTACTTCTCTCATGTCATTGATTTCTACCCTACAGATAAGACAGTAATCAACAGAAAAGCAATTGTCCAGATTGTCTTCCCTTTCTAAATGTTACGTTAAGGCTTACATGGACACGAAAATCAGCGTAAGCAATCTGATCGGATAAAATGTTTGTTTACATACCCCTAAAGTAGAGTGATGTATATTTGGAGAATACAATGCTAGGCCGATATTAATTATGGTTTGAATGTAAATAATCTGAAGTGACGAGCAGGTTACAGTTACAAGCTTATGTCGATGTATCTTTTCACAAACAAAATAACAATAAATCTAGACCCACAAAAACGGCATGACAATCAACCATATTGTTGTAATTGCGTTTTAAAATCTGTGCCTGTTGGTTTTCACAATGTTATTTCAGTTGATTAAATACAAAAGGAAATGTTGGAAATGTTTCTGGTGGACAATTTATATACTATTAGATAATACTGACAAGGAGAATTTTAAAATCATTGTCACCTTAATTGATTTTATTGAAGGGATAGCAATAAATTACTGCATATCGTCGTTCTACGGACCAGTTCTACTTCTCGGTTATTGTTTACTATAAGGCCAAAGTGACTCGTTAATTCATTTTTTACATACTTACTTATAAATACGGGTTTTTTGTATATGCGATACGACACAATTACCCTTACCCATATCAGCCCTCACCGTATCACACCCCAAAAGCGTATCATCCCCCGCCGTATCACACCCAAAAACCTGTATCAGCCCGCAAAACCACACCCCTTTTGGATTTTTTTCGTTTTTCAATATTTCAAAAGAAAAATAGATAATAAGAAAGTAGCTTTTATCAGTAAGTATGTAATAAACAGAATAAAACATGCCTTTTTCCATATCACACCCAGAATCAACCCGAGACTGATATATGAGCCCAAGGGCCGAAGGCCCGAGGTCTGCTATTGGTCGAGGGTTGATACTGGGTGTGATATGGAAAAAGGCATGTATTATTCTCCGTGTATATATTGACATAGCAACGAATTATCAACATATTGGCACATGGCAGGAGATTGATAAGGTGAAGTAAAGACTTAAAAAAAATTGCCACAGGAAATTGGTAAAATGTAACAAAAACTTATACAAATATAATATAAAGGTAGGAAATTACCAAGGTATAACAGGAGAACAGGAGCTTATTAAAACAGCCAAACTGGGATGTGAGAGGAAAATGTGATATCACTTTTCTAGGGGAAGTTATTGGATTTATGGGATTCGTTGGAAATATGGGATGCGTTTGGAAGTTTTGGGTTCAACGGGTACTACGTTGCGAGCAACGGGTGTGGCGCCGTTATATTATCTCTTCGGAGTCTGCTGGGGAACGGGTGTTGCCCCGTTGAGCTTGAGCGTTGCCTCGCTGATGTTAGCGTTCTTACTAGAAGCGTAGGGATCCTTTGGGGCGTTGGGGAGGAGTTGCCGTCGGACTTTCTTAGGGGAAGGTTGGTTTTGAGCTGTTAGCGTCTACTACACTTTTGGATCGTTCCAAAACCGTAGAGCTGTCAGTATGCTTGGTTTGTAGTATAAGGGAAGCAACTCGTAGACTAGAATATGGGGATGGACGGGAGATTTTAGTAATATTTACATTTATTGAACTTGAAGATAATTTAACTTTGTCTATTTTAGAGTACTTTCGGTGTTTCAGACAGTTGAGTTTGACTTTAAACATTCATTGAACCCAGTGATCAGATATGCTAATCCTACTATATTTCATATCTAGAGTTGGTATTTTATAGTAATCATTGCACATTGCAATTTCTATTGATATTTATTGGCACTTGATTCATTTCTGTTATTATCTAACTACAGTAGGGATAAATAGACTTGTTTTGTCCCCTACATATATCAGATAGTTCTTGTATCCAGGGTTCGGACATAGTTCTACCTTTATTGTACATCACATTTATGAGAGAATTTGGAGAGAGTCTGTAGAATTGTAGTATCTGTCTCTGTATAATTTGATATTGGGTTCCTTAATAAACGGTAACCGTAAAGGTGTGCTTAAACTTATCTTATGCTTTCTGGTTCTTCTTTAGTTACTTAGAACTAGTCAGTCATAAGGTACTTGGTTTGGAAATACCACATACTTTCCTGGGGGCTTGTCATAAGCATTTAGTGACAGTTTAGAATCGTCGTGCTCTCTATGTAAAGGATTGAGACAGGGACGAAGACCGTTACAATAATAAATGTATTTCACATACATTCGTTATAATATATAAAATATAAATCCCACACCCATCCCAATGTTTAATTTGCACTTCCTGTTATTAGGTCATGCTGACGACTAAACACGTATACATTTATGTTTTGATTAGCAGTAATTAATTTCCTTGTTTTTTATCTTCCGCGTTGTACAACTTGATATGTGTAACCGATTGTATGTATCACAATGTAAACAATTAATAAAATGAACATACAACCGTTATCGGGGAATTCACGTTTTAGATATAAAGTCAACAAAGTATCGGGTTCCTACAATCTATTTACATGATCTGGTGTTTTCATAAACTAGGAACACAAACTTGTTATAGTGTGAACTTGACATGTGAATAGATCCTAATAAAAAGTTAGTCATAACAATTCTACTCACTATAAATAAATTAATGATAAATAATATATAAAAATAAATAGTCTGTATTCAACGGCGTGTACATCGTCAAACACAAACCTATAAGCTCTGTAGAGCTTCTATTACGACGCCGCTAAGGTAATGAGTGTTGTTTTCGTAATGAGGAAACTACGTAAACAATGTTCCTTCTTGTTATGTCAGAACCACAATATTGCTTTTCTTACCTTCAAACGACGACATATCTTGAACTCTGTATAATGTGTTTCACCTGAAAGTGAAATACAGATGCATGATACATATTTGCCAACATCAACATACAATTTTTAATGCAGAAAATATTAATGCTATCAGCTGATATCTTTTGAATGTTCATATCTAATTCTTAATATTGCTTTTTAAGTCTTAGTATGTTATCTACTGATCGATCACAAGTTCTGTGAGAATGGAGAGTTCTGATCATAATTTATCTTAAATGTCTTGATTTCTGCCATGCTTGGCGATAATATACAAAGGTGAAGAGACAGTTGTCAGATCTTTTCATTTTACATTCAGAAAAAAAAAAAGATGATAATATACAGTTGAATTATTCAGAACATAGCTACTTTACATCTGTACCTCCAATAACTACATCAATATACCAGGGATCTGTCAGTTAAGTACATTTCCACAGTAATTGTAACTTCACTATTGGTATATATCTTCATAACTAACTGAATTTTCCTTTCCTCAATAGAAACATATTAGCCCTGCTTATACAGCGGTTAAATTGCTACTCCAGAAATAGTCAAACGAGTCAGTGTTCGTTCTATCAGGGTTTCTGACAGATAATGTGTCCTGTTCACAAACCTTCTAGTCATTTTCTAATCGAGAGACATCTACCTAAATCTACGTTTAAGATATGGTCCTCGTCCTAACCATGATCGGAACTATGAAATTCCAGTGTCTTCTATAACCCAACGCCCGTTCACTCTTGATTTGAACATATTTTTTTGCCATAAAGCAACTTGATTGGGCACAAGTTATACAACTTATATAAAGCCCTTTCCATAAAATACAACAAAATTACAAGATGACACACTAAAAATAATAGAGAGAGAGAGAGAGAGAGAGAGAGATTTTAAAATGTCCAAGTCTAAATGTAATATAAATGATATCGGACCATGTGGTTGCTCTTTCTCCATGCAAACGGAACTAGTGATAATCAGTTCGCTGTTCATAACGTTCTACTGTTCAATTGTTCATCACTTCCCGTGCTAATAACTTCCTCCTGTTCACTCCTAGTCTGCTGGTATTCCATTTCCACTAGTCCGCTTACACAGAGAAAGTTTCACATACATGTATCTATATAGCGACTGTATATATTAATATAATGATCGGATATCGATAGACATCTGGATTCTAAATATTTTCTGAACGTGAGAGACGAAGAGGGAGACAGAGGTTGTAATTAAAATTGATTTGAATCATGAATGTATTGCTGAGTGTGCCCGAATTACATTTGTACCGTCAAAAAGTAGTAGGTTCAGGGTAAGAGGTATGTACTCTTGTCGGTCGTTATTTGCCTTTACAGCTTTCAGGACTTCTGGAGACATCTTGACTGCTGTCTCTTGGGTTGTCTTTCTCTTGTTTTGGTGTAGCCTCAGTTTTTTTTTTTAGTTTTTACTTTGAGTTTAAATTTTTCTCTCGTTTGCTGTGTTAGATATCTATTTAAAATGTAGTTTTCTTTTTTCCCTTTTCCTTTTTTCCTTTTCCATTTTTTTATGATGTAAATGTACTCGAATTTCTTAAGTATCTTAACTGAGTAAATATGTGACAAAATAACAGCCCTTGAGCCAATGTAATAGATTTGGGTGGTCGGGTGGCGTAGTGGATGGGTTGCGCAGTGGATAGCGCACTTGCCTTTCACCAAGGCGGTCGTGACTCGATTACCCGATCGGACGTGAAATGGTATTGGCCACCTGAATGACCACATCGTTTACATTTTTTTGATTCTCATAAAAAAAACATCTACATCAAACATGCATTCATCTTTTTACACATTTCTCAGATACGTGTTTTCTTTTAAAATTGATCATAATTTGTTAAATATTACAAAAATCCGTTACGCGAGATCAAAACGCGACTTGAACGTGATTCAAACCTCAGAAGAGTACATCTTTAAGTATTTTATTTCTGAATTGATCTATAACTAACTGAATAAATCAGTATTGGAAAATGTTCTTAAGAATATTTGACTATTAAAACATTTGTATTACTATGAAGCACAATAAACTAACTATATTTTGACAATTATACTCAATGTCAGTGTAAATCAAAACAATAGTATAGTAACTTACCACGCTTTTCTGTTCAGAACGATATAAGGCTTCACAGTGGTATCAACAGACGCCAAATGTGAAAAAGATGTAAAGCTCTTTCTCAAAATCCATAAACCATTTCAAACATCCATTACGCTGAGGAACTTCAGTTTTCAGTCGTGCTTAGACTGACAGCAAACTAAATGAGGTCTATAGATGTTATAGCTATTTGTTGTGTTCGTTATCTTCGCAGTTCCGTGTACCACTGAAAGTTAACATAGCACTAAAATTCCGAGTTATAATACGCCCTCATCCGGACCCAGGAAGTGAACACACATGTGTATACACGTGTAAATTACAAAATGCTGTCAAAATTATCTCAATATGACACTGTGTGGTCTTTACAATACTATCCCGTAGAACAAATCTTTAAAATGAAAAAAAGTTATTGTACGACAAATCTTCACATTATACTCGGCAAGGGTTCAGTGTATAATACCAGGAAACAATAGCCGCATGTGACTTTAAATGAACCCACTTAATGTCTATAGAAGATATCACTTTACTTGAAAGACGATGTCCTTCCTCGTCGCTCGTCGGTAAGATAAACCATTGATATAGCGCCCTAGCTAGCTAACATAAGCCACTCTAAAGCGCTTTACAGCAAATAAATATACAATTAATACAATAACCAGATACATTAATCAATTATTTTTTGATGAATTCACAGGAGCTGTCTTATCATGCGCTAACTTCTAGTCCTATGTCACCTGGCTAATATCTCCCTATGTGTGTATGCCTGCGTGTGTGATGGATATGTAATGTGTTCTGTTTGTAGTGGGACCGCGCTATTTGATCTGTACTGCGTACTAAATTTGATAACTGTCCGAAAATCTGGTTAGGTTTTCGTAATATATGTAGAACATGTAGGGACACTTTGACATCGTTTCTGAACCCTAATCAGTTTTCACTCATAGTGACAATCCCGATATCACCCTGTGCCAAATTGGTCGAGCTCCGTATCCTACTACAACTGAAGTGCAAACTTGACTAATTTCCGTTTTCTTTTCGGCGAAAACCGCTTATGCTTGACTCATCAACATTATCTATATTAGACCTTGTTTATTTTGTGCTTATGAACGAGGAAGTTTTATATATATTCACCACATAACGTACAGAATACCGGGAACAAGAGGCCAAAAGGGTCTCTATTGATAACCGGAATATTAAAGCAACCTTGGCAAAAGATTACCATTTAAAGTAATACTTACAACATTTCCCAATTCTGGGCTCCATTTCTCAGTAATACCAGTTCAATATTAAAGATTAACACTTATTTTGGTTGAAATATCATCAACTAGTCAGAAGGAGTAGGGTTTTTAAAATTTAATTGTCCAGGCTTGATTTTAATAGCAAAGGAGATGTTGCATGGGAGCCCACTGTCAATTTATTATTTTAGCATAAATCAAATAATTGGCTGAACATTAATAGAAATAAATAAACTAAAACAAATGTCTGCTCACACTGTTAAATGGCCTTTGTATAACCCTCTCATTAGTATATACCAGTTGACCATGCTTGGAATCATTTTCAAAGGAATTACACCTTTACTTTTTTGTCGTTAAAATCAAAGTTTGAATTATTAGAATTTCACCAAGTAACATCAGAATAAATACGATACATGATCATTTTCAGCAATACAACTGTATCAATTCTTCTTGCATAGAAAGGTGCAAATAATCAACTAGGCATGCTAATTTTGGCCCCCCCCNTTTAGAAATACGAGCATGAAATGGTTATGCACGCTGATGTAAAAATCCAACTTAACAACGCTTTGGGGCGCAGTGCTCAGCGGGCCTGAAAAAAGAGGATAATTTCGCTGCTTTGTTTATTTTAAAAGACGACGCGTCCATAAAGGTTTCGTCGATTACATCCTAGGTTGATATTAACATCTGTAAGACTTGGCAGAGTTATGAAGGCTGCGGATTATCGGGAGTGTTGGGGTTTTAATTCGGGTGATTTAGTCATTTTATTCTTCAAATTGCTGCTTTTCGACAACGCTAAAATATTTTTGACCAAATATGGTTTTAAAGTTACAACAAAAGCACTACTCACGAATATATTATACGCCCATCAATATACAAAGGTCAATAACTCTGTTAGATAAAACTTGAAGCTCTTATCTGGAATGGACAACTAGGCCTACATGTCATGATGATAAAGCCTACCAAGCTACAGGAAACCCGATCACAAGCTGGTTAAGAAGAACTCAAGACAAGCAATATTTCTCTGAAAATTGTGGAATCATAATATCGAGTTGTGAATCACGGCTACATGTCGTAATTGTTTATATGGTGAGGCTATCTCCCGTCAAAAATAAAAGTTAACGGACGGACATCGTTTGGTGGATGGGGCCTTATGCATTCCCGTTTTAAGACGGACGTTTTACAACAAGTTTGGATTTCTTGATAGTAACATGCAAGTTTACAAATGTACCGCCAACGGGGAACTGCTTGACGGATTTGTTTTACGTCCGCTTCACTACCGAGTAGTTCGGTTATCCAGCAGACGAGTTTTCACGGGAACATGCAGGCTTGCTATATCCAGACTTTTGATGCATGGCGATGCCATCAAGAACCTATCGAGAAATATATATATTTCCTCATCGGAAATGAATATCTCCGTTTTTTATTTCGCTTATAATTCTTCCTGATGAAGTCGATGAAGCAGAAAATGTTTACACTGATTAAACACTTGGTATATTTTTTTTATTGTGCTTATGCGACGGTCTCTAAATAAATATCTTTGTTAAGTATTTCGATTTCGAATTACGTTTTTGCTGACACTTAATTATATTCTCACTTTAATTTTGTATACATGAAGACTTCACGACATGGACCAAATAGCGTTTGGGCATTACAGTGGCATATATATATATATATATATATATATAGCATATATGGTTTTCCGGATATGGCGGCATAATTTGTTCAAAACGGTACATGCCTTTCTTTAAATAATATAGAATTTGGTTTCTGTTATTCCGTTATCACTTTCTTTCCGTGGGAAGTCAGCGTGTGGCCCTTGGTTCCATGTCACAATAAGGCTTACTGTATTTTAATCCATGAACCTGGATGCTTTCGTATACTTTCATACATAACAATCTAGATCATATAACGTAAAACATGTATTCGGCTGTGTGAAAACACATACCAACAGTGCTTTGGCCCATTGAACGTTTGTAGTAATATGCTTCTATTAAACTCTCGGTTTCATTGAGAGTATTGTTTCAATGATTGTACTTATAGTTTGAGGCTATTGTTCCGCGAACGGACTGTCGATATATATATATAACGGTTATAAAAGTAGCTGAGCTTAAATGCAATAATACATGCATATACAAATTACATTCGTGGCTGGACGTATGATATATTTTCGCCCAAAGTATGAAATATCGTCCTGTCATGATACAGTAACAGTACTGATGGTACATTGTCTATGCATAGGAAGATTTTTAACAAGGACTACGGAAGGGAGATTGTTATTAGGGTCAACTGGAGGAGTTTACGTTCTTGTTTCGTTGTCGATAGTACCCAGTAACACAAGACACATATGTGTAGCCTATGAAGCCGACTGTGCTTATACTGCAACACTGCGTGTCTTTATATAGGGGTTGTTAACATGGTCTACTGGGGATGTCAACATGGTCTACTGGGGTTGTCAACATGGTCTACTGGGGATGTCAACATAGTCTACTGGGGATGTCAACCAGGTCTACTGGGGTTGTCAACATGGTCTACTGGGGATGTCAACATGGTCTACTGGAGATGTCAACATGGTCCATTGAAGTGTCAACTTGGTCTACTGGGGATGTCAACATGGTCCATTGAAGTGTCAACATGGTCTACTTAGGGTGTCAACATGGTCTATTGAGGATGTAAACATGGTATACTGGGGTTGACAACGTGGTATACTGGGGATGTCAAAATGGTCTACTGGGGTTGTCAACATGGTCCATTGAAGTGTCAACATAGTCCAATGAAGTGTCAACTTGGTCCATTGAAGTGTCAACATAATCTACTGGGGATGTCAACATGGTCCATTGAAGTGTCAACATGGTCTACTGGGGATGTCACCATGCTCTACTGGGGATGTCAACTTGGTCCATTGAAGTGTCAACTTGGTCTACTAGGGATGTCAACATTATCCAATAGGGTGTCAACATGGTCCATTGAAGTGACAACATGGTCTACTGGGGTTGTGAATATGGTCTACTGGGGTTGTCAACATGGTCTATTGAAATGTCAACATAGTCTCCTGGGGATGTCAACATTGTCCATTGAAGTGTCAACATGGTCTAGTGGGTTTGTTATCATGGTCCATTTAAGAGTCAACATGGTCTACTTGGGGATGTCAACATGGTCCAATGGAGTGTCAACATGGTGCTTTATGGTGTTAACATGATTAACTAGGGTGTCTTCATGGTAAACTTGTGTGTCAACATTTACTACGAGGGGTGTCAACATGGTTAACTGGGGTGTCGACATGGTCTAACGTACGGTGTATCACCATGGTCAACTGGGTGTCAACATGGTCTACTGGGGATGTCAATATGGTGGTCAACTTGGGTGTCAACATGGTCCACTGGGTGGCAACATGATCTAGGAGGGATGCCAATTTGGTCCACTGGGGTTTCGACATGGTCTAGCGTACGGTGTATCAACATGGTCAACTGGGAATGTCAACATGGTGGTATTTTTGGGTGTCAACACGGTCCACTGGAGTGTCAATATGGTCTAATCGGGGTTTTCACATGATCTATTAGGGTGTCAACATCATAGTCTATAAGCTGTCAACACTGACTTATAGGGTGTCAACATGGTTTACTGGTATGTCACTATGGTCTACTGGCTGTCAACGTGGACTACTAGGGTGTCGACATGGTATACGGGGGGTGTCAACATGGTACAGTGGGGTGTTATCGTGGTCTACTGGAATTGCCAACTTAATCATCTGCATGTTGGTATCAACATGATATAATATACTTAGAAAACTGTTACTGAAGTGAAATTTATGAGCAGGATTTACTTGCAGGTATGGTTGGTATCAGGGTGAAAAGGAGAGAGGAATGTCAGGAGAACGTATTGAAGGGAAGGATACGAAATTGTTCTGTTAACGAGTTAAAGTTGTGTTAGGGTCAATGTGGATTTCTGTGTAAACATAAATATACCCACTGAAGCGAGATATGTAGAGAAAGGTTAAATGGAGATGAGGATGTGAGCTTCAGGGTTAGAAACCTAGCCATCGGGTTGTATAGTGCAAATACAATCGATTATTAAATGGATAAACGCCAACAAGTACACCTTCCGTTCCCCCTATTGTGTTGTACTGACACGTCGGCTGTGCAAACAGCGATAAAGGGGTAATTCCATTATTTCTCGATTTGATTTGTTGATTCAACATTGACTCGGAAAGCTTTGTTTGAACCTTCGATGCGCCTTGACAACTATAGTGCATTTTCTTACTTGTACACTCACTTAGTCGACCTGCTACATCCACAGTGCCAAAGTAGCTGATCAATAGGTTTTTAATTTTAATATTAGTTGGCATGTAGAACAGAAGGACTATTGACCGTCACAACTTTGCCCTGTTTTACCGTTTGATAGATGATACTGTTTACAACTCGTCCAGGTCTGTATATAGGTCAAGGAACACAGTTATCAGTAAATTGTGGGCCACATTGATGCTGTCATCAGGAATTAATTAGACGACTGGAAACAGCTATGGCTGATGTTCTGGATTAATTTTAAAATGTCTGTGAATAAAACATTTATCATTAATCGGAAAGGTGGGCGATGCGCCCTGGTAACCGGGTCGCTGTGATACAGTTATGAGTTTTCATATACACAGTTATCATTAAACAGAAAATCAAACACGGGGTCACAGTGTGTATGATAAACCTGTCTAGGGCAAGAAAGGGACGTACGAAATGCAGTACTTATATGGCTGGCCATATACATGTAAATATACTTGTTCTCTCACTTCGCTTTTAGTTCAGTTTAGTTTAGGTCAGTTTCCGATACAGGATATGTATATGATACTCTCCACCGGACTCAAACATGTTTTTTTTTTTAGTTATACATGTACACATATATAAAGTTCGGGTGTGGACATCACATGTTTACACGTTAGGTTAGCTCTGTGATTATAAATATTTTCCTGGTTACACCCAATTTCAAGTGCCATGATGAAAGTAAAAACTATTATAGTATACATATTTCACCGTATAATTAAGAAAGATGGGATTTCATTTTGTTTACAAACCATTTGGTGATAGGCTTACCTCGATTTCCTTTTAAAAAAAACCCCAACAAAATAAATAACAGAAATTTGTTGATATTTTCGAAACCCAAAACGCATTGTTTGGTTAATGAACCCATTCTGGTAATTGGAATGATAGAAAAATTCAATGTCCGGGCGTAGGACATGTAGGAAAAACCCACCGTCGGCATTTTCAATTTAGGAAAAACCCTAGCTTGGTAGCTCATTGTAAGCAATTAATTTAGGTCGCAATTTTTTTCAAATTTGAAAACCTATCTATCCATGTCAACAACGGGTTTAACAAGCACAAGCAAGTTACAAGCGTAACGTCAATCTCCAACTATACAGCGGCGGTAAGTTCGTTTTGAGAAATAATAACGAAAATGTTAAAAAAAATATGTTTACGCCTAAGGCAAGCCCAAGACAAAGGTGGATAACTCCTGTAGTCTTTGACAAGCACCTGTTTATGTTTAACTGGTTGCTATGGTAGCAGTTTCGACTTGTACTGCAATCCAGCTCAAAACAGTAGTGAAGCTTTGTTTATACACTGTATCAAGTGGTTTTATTTGAGTTTTGCCCATTAATTCTTTACAGAACCGAGGAAAATACAGTATTTACAGTAGTTAAGTGGTTGAGTAGCCTACGTGTAACGAAGGGCTGTTGCAATTGTGATCCGTGTTAAGTGGACGTTTCCTCTCTGGTTTAATGGCAGGCCCTAACTAACGGATCCATAGACTGAATTCAAAAATATGTATGCGCGTGTGTATCTACTTCCGGATTGTTCTACGTGTTGACTTGCCTCGAACAACACTTTACAGAGAAACATATTAAAATTACGCAGTATGTAGTTTGTAATATTCTGATATGTTCCGATCACGGACTTAGATAACAATCTAATTCCGTTGTTCCGATTGATAAATTTCCCACTACCATCATCCATAGACGTGTATAATACTTAAAAAAGTGTCCCGTTTTGGGCACAGTGACGGTAACACGTCTCCGATCTTCGTTTCCTATCCATGTACATACATGTGTAGTCACCGTCATAGTTTTACCGTGCAGTGCACATATATACACATATATGTCTCTCTATATGTGAACTAGTAATCTAGTGACAAAGAAATCCCCATGAGTCATGCTATGAGTGCTGATTAATTAGGTCGAGATAGCTCCTTTATTCCAGATGCATAAAGATATGAGATTTCCTGAATAATTAAGAGTTGAAAGTTAAACATGATAATCAACCATCACCAATTCGGGGATCAAACTCATAGCAGCCATGAGTTGGGAAAACCTTTCTGGGGGTAGGGGTGGGGGGTGGCGGTGTTCCAAATGTCCAGGGTGTGTGTGTGTATGTGTTCCATGTAAGGAAAAATTGAGGAAAATGGTGAAAATACATAATTTAAAAAAAATAAATCTCCAGGGGGGGGGGGGGGGGGGTATTTTGCCAAATAAGTAAATTCTGTTATAAAACACTTATTAATCTAGTACGATATGAATTTGTATGCTCTCTCCGGTAATAGGGTAGTGCTAATATTAATACCCGGCCTCATCTGCCCCGGCCGGCTGACGACGCAATATATAGAAAAAAATCTCTCGTCGTCAGAAAGCTACGTGATCGCAGCTAGCAATAGGCGATAACATTCCGTTTGAATTTTCAATGTTTACTCCTGTTGTTATAGCCGGTCTTTAGTAGTAATCTTTCAGTACTGTTTGCAGGTAAACCTAAGCGTCTAACAGATAGTGTATAGCGATTTATGTGGAGAGGAATGGATTGTTATTAACAAGTCAATCCGGCGACTTAGGTATGTATTGGCAATATTTACAATGTATGATGGGAACCATTCAATTAATCACATTTTAATAATATTATGTCCAAATATATATATATACTGTAGCAATACTTCATATTCACATTACATGTATAGCAACCTCGTGAATATATGTAAGTTAGAAACAACCTTTCACTTGAGGGATTGCATTGGAAGTTCAGACAAATAATGAATATATATATATATATATATTGTGTTGTGCAATAAGACCCGCCATCTGTTTTAATTATTATACATTTGTTTAGTTGGTAAGTCATATTTTTTTCAACAAGAACCACACCATGTAGATAGATTTGTATTGACCGAAACATGTTGGTCATTAGCATATATTAGCTGATAGGATGCTAAGGCAGGCATTCATTATAAATTGAAAAAAAAATGACTGTAGTACATATTTTGCCTATTTACTCATCCTGTGTGTTACAACACACTTATATATCCCTGTAAGATATAAAATATAATTGCTGTCTCTGGTAATTTAGTGGTAATCATTGTGAATCAACCACTGTTTAAATAAAAACAGCTGAATTATTCTTCAGGAAAACCCATCTAATTTTCATCACTTCTAATATTTACATGTGTATACAATTATTTAATCTGCCAAGATATAACAGATAATTTGATTCAATCCAAAAACACAATAAAACTATTATAGCTAAACTTAATGTTACACTTTTAAAATAAATATTAGTAAATAAAGCTTAAATACTTAATGTTTATCTCTCGTTATGGATTGACTGCTTTTGTACGTTACTGCATGTACTTACAAATTCACCCGTATTGACATCAGAAATGACACAATGATGTCATATGGTAATGTGACGTCACATTCACTGGTGACAATAAACATGACATCAAGGTGATGATGACATTAGATAAAGGGTTAGAGAAAAAACATCTTCATCAAAATTTCAAGTAATTATGAGTCTCACTTAAATTGAAACATCTATATGAACTATATGCATTTCATAAATCTGATATAAAGTGTTTTGTTTTAAAACATGATCCTGGAAATATTAAATAAATGGGTATGTTTTTTTTTTCTTTCGGGTATGTCATGTTGGCATCAATTCACACAGTGTCACTGCTCATTGTTATGTGTATACATATACCGGTAGTGTAGTCTGTTTTTAATTGTTTTCATTTCATGTTCCATTATTAAAATCAATCCTATACTGTTGGTTGATTGCAGTTGATATGGGGTCTAGTGACTATATGAAATACAATAGATTGCATATTTGGATATAAAACTTCTGTATATAGTTAGCATTCCTTTTAACTCAAAGCAAATCAACATCATGCATTTATTACCTGCATGACTGTTACCAAAATTGAAATGATCATAGATATAATAAAAAAAGATAATTTACCTTTGCTAGTAATTGTTTCTGTTGATTTCTTCTTAGGCTATATTTCATTAGGGTTTGATAATAACTTGCTCATTACAAAATTAATTTGCCCGGGGAAAATGTTTGCATTCATTATTCAATTTAGCAATTTTCTTTCCGGCATAATAACATTTTCCCAATGACAGTGAAAAAGAATTTTAAGATGTTATATTTATCGTTATACATATATGCAATTTGTAGTTACATATGTAAAGCAATAAATAAATAAATGTAATGCTGAAAAGTGCGACTATAGCTAATTACTATAGCAATGAATAAATACAACGTTGAAAAGTGTGACTATAGCTAATTAGTAATTACCTATAGTAATACTTTCCAGTGTTATATTTATTTATTGCTATACATATGTAATAATCTAATGACATACTTCTCATTGTTATATTCATTGCTATACATATGTAATAATCTAATGACATACTTCTCATTGTTATATTCATTGCTATACATATGTAAATATCTAATGACATACTTCTCATTGTTATATTCATTGCTATACATATGTAAATATCTAATTAGCCGTACATGACTTTGTGATCAAAACACAATGTTTGACCACAGACTTAGATAACAGGTCTTATTTCCTATACCGAAAAGGCAGTTGCCTTTCTCTCTAATCTATAATTCCGTGTTTTAACAGAGTATTTGAGATTTGGTATTTGATGAAAATCCTATGAAGATATCAATTTAATAAAAAATAGATTGCTTTATTATCTTTTAAAGTGCATTGTAGTTAATGAACCTTTCTTAATTTCTCTACCACATTTGAACATTTCAACACATGGTCCAAGTACCTGTACCGTAAAAGCTTTCTTGAAAATTTGCATGCATCAAAAAAGTTCGAAGTATTATACTTTTCACATTAAAAATAATGAAAATAATCTTTGAAATTTCATTTGAAAAGACTATCATCGAAACCTTGTAGTTCACATTTATTAGAACAATTTACAATAAAATCCAAGCAGTGTTTTTTGCCACCATGAGATGTATTTCACTATCATAAATAGAGCATGGACATTATCCATATGTAAAGAGTGCTCTGGGCTTTGGTGTGCTCTTGTTAAATTTTGATAATGCATGTCACACTCTCAGAGTGTATTGCAATTATAATTGTTTCCCTATATACACCTCTGTTTCCTTATATATTTGAATTGATTCCCACATGATTGCATCTATATATGTAAATAATTACTTGCAGTGAGCTTTGAATATAGTAAATCATTACTGGAATGACATTAAAGTGTATAATACTTAAAGCCTCGTTAAGATTTACACTTTTTACGTTTGATTAACATGAGATACAGTTACTCCGTTGTTGTGTCAACAGTTTTTATTTGTTTACATGTGGGCTGTACTATAACAGGTTATTGATCATTCCGATAACTCACACTATTGATTGTGATCTGAAGCATGACCTGTCTGTCTCCGTGGAATTGAAGATCCTGGCAAAGTGTTAAAATTACCATTTGGTTTTCACAAACAGTAAAGCACTGGCTGGCCTATAATACTCTGAACCAAAATATTTGCATATGATTTGTGAAAAGAAATTTTCCCCGCAATGAAATTGTCCATGTATATACTTAACATTTCTGCTAGCTGTAAACTGTAGTGAAACTTCAATATAATGGGACTGGTTATATACCAATGGTAAAACCTCAATATAATGGGACTGGTTATATACCAATGGTAAAACTTCAATATAATTGGACTGGTTATATAAAGATGGTAAGACCTCAATATAATGGGACTGGTTATATACCAATGGTAAAACCTCAATATAATGGGACTGGTTAATGGTTATATACAGATGGTAAGACCTTCATAATGGGACTGGTTATATACCAATGGTAAAACCTCCATAATGGAACTGGTTATATATCAATGGTAAAACCTCAATATAATGGGGCTGGTTATAAATCAATGGTAAAACCTCAATATAATGGGGCTGTTTATATACCAATGGTTAAGCTTCCATAATGGGACTCGTTATATACTGATGGTAGGACCTCAATATAATGGGACTGGTTATATATCAATGGTTAAACCTCAATATAATGGGACTAGTTATATACCAATGGTAAAACCTCTATAATGGGGCTGGTTATATACCAATGGTAAAACCTCCATAATGGAACTGGTTATATACCAATGGTTAAGCTTCCATAATGGGACTCGTTATATACTGATGGTAGGACCTCAATATAATGGGACTGGTTATATATCAATGGTTAAACCTCAATATAATGGGACTAGTTATATACCAATGGTAAAACCTCCAAAATGGGGCTGGTTATATACCAATGGTAAAACCTCAATATAATGGGGCTGGTTATATACCAATGGTTAAACCTACATATAATGGGGCTGGTTATATACCAATGGTAAAACCTCAATATAATGGGTCTGGTTATATACCAATGGTTAAACCTACATATAATGGGACTGGTTATATACCAATGGTAACACCTCCATAATGGGGCTGGTTATATACCAATGGTAAAACCTCCATAATGGGACTGGTTATATACCAATAGTAAGACCTCCATAATGGGACTGGTTATATACCAATGGTTAAACCTCATTATAATGGGACTGGTTATATACCAATGGTAAACCTCCATAATGGGACTGGTTTTATACCAATGGTAAAACCTCAATATAATGGGACTGGTTATATACCAATGGTAAAACCTCCATAATTGGACTGGTTATATACCTCGGTATAATGTTTATTTATGATTCTTAATTTCATGACAATATGATATCAAATGCATTAGTTTGACAAAGGAAATAGAAGTATTCGAAAGCTTGCAAAATAAGTTTCCAATTCCTGTGTGTGTTCAAAATAAACTTTGCCTTTACAATATATCATTTTGTAAAATTTTGTTACTCTCTTTGATCAAAACCTGGATCTTTCAAGGTTGAATGTTGTATAGATTATGTAGATACTGCGGTAATGGTGTAGTATTTAGTTTAACGTTGACACTGGCCAGTCACGTCAGTCCTTCCCTTTGTGTGCAACTGTGATTTAAATATTTCAATACAGTTTATCAATAGTTAGGAATTTCTTCTTGGCATTTATAATTATCGCCATTTTGATAGACCATTCTACTAGATGTTTCAGCAAGTGATAGAGGCGTTTAATCTGTCCATGACAATATTGGTCCTGGATTTACTAGTGATAACTAATTTCATTGGTATAATTTTCAAATTGATTGCACCCAAACATCATAAACAAGTTTTCATAATGTTATTTTTTGTTTCAGACGAAGCATGTTGAATGGGTGTGACTGACCTACTGACAAATGGCCCGTGTTGGTCCTTTTGGTCAGGAGATAGAGATGAATGAAGGCGAACCTCCAGATAAGAATGTGGGCTCCAGTATTGAGAGTCTACATTACATTGAAACAGCTGTCAGTGCTGATAATGTTGGTGCCGTTCCACCATTGGTAAGTGTATGTCTTGAGGGTCAAGAACCCTAATTATAAAATGTTCATTGAGTTTTGTCTTTGTAAAATTGTTTCAATTAATGTAATTTTTGCTATGATTGATTTTCTTTATCTAAGAAGATAGTTTGAAGAATGTGTTCAGAGATTATTAAGCTGTTAATTGATATTAGTTAAGATATTAAACTTTTACAGTAGAAAAAATAATACAATTAAAACAATATTTTACCTTTAAGCCAAACAAAAGCAATTTTGAAAATACATTGTACATGTATTAGGTTTGGTCAGTTAATTTGGAGGCATTTTTTCTCTAATATTTTGCATTCTTCTTATTTAAAGTTTTTGAAGCAGATATTCTGTTTTGACTATACTTGTTTTCACTGTTGATATAAAATATAGAGTAGGCGGGTTTTACAGGAACCACCATGGTCGGTGTAGTTTTTGTTTTTGAGACCTATGTTTATTATTTTTAAAAATGTGATTTTTCCACACCTTCCTGTGATATGGCCAAAAAACTAAATTGGTTACCTTTTCACAATTGTTTTTATACAATCAAGTAGTTTTTATGTGCTAGATACTTAATAATTTAGCTCCACAAAATTTGAATGATTTTACGTATATTTCTGATGTTCAGGGTAGAACTCGAGATCATCATCTACCAATGTGTTTTACATGCCATGTCATAAAGACAAACATTTTCAAAAAATCTTTTAGATATCAGGGATCCCTTACATGGAATCTTTTACCAAGTCACATTAGAAATTGTACTTCATTTTTAGAATTTAAGAGATCTGCAAAGCAATTTTACTTGAAATGATTTATGATTTCTTCCCTTATCCTGTATTTTATACATGTATATTTCTTAAAGTTGTAAATACTGTACATTTTATCATACATTGTATCTTGACCATATGTAAGATGAGCTTCATGCTCAATATGTTATCAAGAATAAATAAAAACTTTATTATATATTATATTAGCTCACCTGGTCCGTAGGACCAAGGTGAGCTTATGCCATACCATTGCATCCGTCCGTACGTAAACAATTTCTTTAAACGACTTCTTCTTCTTAACCACTGATTGGAATTCAACTAAATTTGACTGGAAGCATCCCTAGGTAGTGGAGATTCAAAATTGTACAAATGGTGGGGCTGACCCCCCAGGGGGCTGAGGGGCGGGCTAAAAGGGGGCAATTAGGCTATATTGCTACAAACAACTTCTTCTGTAGAACTATGCATTGGATATCGATCATATTTGATCAAAAGCATTTATGGGAAGCAGGAATTCAAAATTGTACAAATGGTGTGGCTGACCCCCCAGGGGGCTTAGGGACGGGGCCAAAAGGGTTATTTGGCTATATTGTTTTAAGCGTCTTCTTCTCGTGAACTGAGTGATGGATATCAGCCATATTTGACTGGAAGCATCTCTAGGTGGTTGGGATTCAAAATTGTACAAATGGTGGGGCTGACTCCCCAGGGGGATGAGGGGTGGGGCCAAAAGTTGGCAATTTGGCTATATTGCTATAAACGACTTCTGTAGAATATAGCATGGATATCGATCATATTTTGTCAAAAGCATTCCTCCCCCCCTCCCCCCTCCCCCCACCCCGTGCTAAAGGGTGGGGCCAAAAAAAGTTTATAACTTGGAAATAGTTGAGATTCCCACGGTATAACCATATATACAATTGTAGAGTATAAAGAGAAGAATGCACATTTGCTTCCAGTATGGCCTAGGGTCTGGACCCATCCTTTGGGACATTGTCCCTGGGTCATAACTTTGAAACGGTTGAGATCCCCACCCGCAGACTATAAATACAAATGCTGGACAAAAAGAGACGAATGTAGTCATGATATTATAATTGATCCTGGGGTCTGGCCACAACCCTAGGGATCTAGATTCTGAGTCACAGCTTGGAAACAGTTGAGATCCCCACCCCATAACCATACATTAAATTGCTGGGCATGAAAAATCTAATACAGACATACTACAGGAATTGGCATACGGGTCTGGCATATTCCCTTTGATTTCATTTGGAGAATATTTTGCCATGATTACTTAGATATCCAGGTGAGCGTTACAGGCCCTCTCGGCCTCTTGTTATATTATATTTATCATTATTATTGAGTACAATGTACAAAATGTACCATAGTTGCAAACATCATGTAGCTGTGCTCTGAAGACGGCCTCCCTTTGGCCGAAACATGTCAGCACTTAGGATGTAAATCAAACATTACATTTTGTACCGGATTCAGTGGTGTTGTTGCTCATCATTTCTGTTTACAAAATGTATAAGAATTCAAATTCAGTGTCATTTTAGATAAAATATTTTAGTATTCTATTACATGTGCCAATATTCTATAGAATATTGTATATACAGAAAGTTCTTAAATGCCTTACTTGTAAGTTTTTACCAATATACTGAAAAAAAATTGATATACAATTATATGAAATTTTCCATTATCAGTTGTCAATGATCTTCATAGTATTTACTGCCAAAATGTAATTACTAAGAATACCTTACTGGTAATTACTTGAAATCATTGTAACTTAATGATATATATATATATCATTACCAATAAATGCTTGTAACAATTTGAAGCAGATTAGAAATTTAAAAATTGTAATAATTGCAGAATGTCATCAGCAAGGAGGTGAAATGGATAAAGAACAACATAAGGAGGCGTCATTGTCGCCGCATTGTAGAGAAAGCACCAAAAACAGACCAGTAAGTGGTGATTTAGAAACTTTTCTTTTAGAATCTGGGTAGTTGAACTAAATAAGGTCACTGAGATTCTGGTTAGTGTGGTATGGTTGTTTATTAATCCTCATTTAGTTGTGACAGGCAAACCTAATACTGTGAAACTAATAACTCAATTAAAAAAATTGTTCACTCTCATTAATGAACTTTATATCCATTAATTGTTAGCTTAACTATGTGGAGTTAAAGCTTATTCTAATATTTGCAGTAACAATGAATTCCACAAAAATGGTGAAAGTTTAACTACACTGAACATTTAGTGGTACGATGTATTGTGATGAATACCGTAGTTTTAGTATAGAGAATGTCAACAAAATTTTACTGCTTTCTATCGTATTTTATGAATTTGCTTTGTTTTGGCACATAAAATAGTTAATCGCCATGAGAACCCTAATTAACACAAAAAAATGTGTCTATTTAGTATAAATCTCTTGAGGTCACCCGCCCTTTTATGATTATACAATATATATATACATCTCTAAATGCTGCCAGTTAATTAATGTTTATCTCTGAATGCCATCAGTCCTTTTAGTGCAAGAAGGCGAAGAAGGTAATTATAGAGAATGCCACTCTAATCGTATAAGTATTATAGGAGCATGAATGCAGATTCAAATTTTTCCCATTATCATATCAAATTCCTGGTAAAGTTATTCATAAATATTCCATTTCTACCAAAACCATCTGGTACATTAATTATCCTGGTTCTCTATTCACCTGGTTCATTATATCCTGATTCCCTGTTTAATTACCTGGTATATTACCCTGCATGGTTCCCTGTTTACCTGGTATATTAACCTGGTTCCATGTTTACCTGGTATATTACCTTGGTTCCATGTTTACCTGGTATATTACCCTGGTTCCCTGTTTATCTGGTACATAACCCTGGTTCCCTGTTTAATTACCTGGTATATTACCCTGGTTCCATGTTAACCTGGTATATTACCCTGGTTCCATGTTTACCTGGTACATTACCCTGGTTCCATGTTTACCTGGTATATTACCCTGGTTCCTTGTGTACCAGTACTGATCTTTGATCAGGTTTCAAGTTTACCTAGTTAATTATTTATGTTCTTTATACACCTGTTACATTATCCTTGATCCCTGTACACCTGGTAAATTAATTGTCCTGGTTCCCTGTTTACCTGGTACATTTTCCTGGTTTCCTGTTTATCTGGTTCAATTCATTATCCTGGTTCTCGGTTCACCTGGTTCATTATCCTGGTTCCCTGTTCACCTGGTAAGTTTTACCTGGTTTCCTGTGAACACCTGGTACATTTACCTGGTTCTTTGTGTCCCAAATACCCATCTAGATCCCCTGAATTCTTGTTCATTATTCTGATTCCATGCATGAACACCTGGTTTATTTCCCTGGTTCCCTTTTTACCTGGGTTATTATTCTGGTTCTTTATTGACATGGTATATTTTCCTAATTTTGTTGTTGGCATTTTTTACTGCTTGATGGTACCTGCATGTGATCAATGTAATAAGTAAAAAAGACATTTGATTTGTACTTTCGTGTAAAGAGTTCACTTTCAGTAAAGTTCTGGTGAATCATTATCAAGACAAATACCTGCTGCCTCAGAAATAGTTCATTTGGTGGGTTCATCTCCTTGGGGAAAATAGATTTAACTGTTCACTGATAATATAGGCATGGACACAGCTGTATATTGCTGACTAAATACTAAATATAAAGTGTTGGCCACTATCCAGTAATGACTATATCTAGAGATTCACAGATCCATGCACTTTGTTTGATTTGTGCACGCATGTAGCAGATAGTGATACATGATGTATTATTTATTTCAAATCTGATCTAATAATTAAGTTTTTAGGATTTTTTTTAAGTCACCACTTGTACTACATGTAATGAACTAAGTTATAAACTGACCAATACATTAGCATGCTGAATATTATTTCTTCAATAAGTTTGGCTGTGGTAGCAATTGACAAAAGTATACTGTACTAAGTGGCTTGTTCCATGGTGTTCAACAAGGCAATGCATGCTTAATGACAGAATTTCAGTGGAAAATTTGCAGCACAAAGTGAACTGTGGTCGTAATTGTTAAGGATTGATACATTACCTCTTAATTTTATTATTGACCAATGAGATCATTTCCCCAGGGTGTAACCCATTAGCCTGTAACCAAAAAAGTCTACCATCTACTAGCAGGTTAATCTATCTGATGAGCAAGTTCCAGGGATTGAGGAAAGTTTTAAATGTTGTGGGAAAATATATTTCCTGGGTTTGCTTTAACTTTGTCGCTCTACATTGTTAAAAAAAGTAGTCACAGAGAACCTAAAATATGTTGAAGTTACATTTCTTATGTTCCTTTATGATTTTATTGCTTGCTTGAGTAACACCATTTGAAGAGGCTATATTTTAATATAGTGTTAACTCTGTATAATAACTTCACTTGACCTGGGTGTATTACTTGTTGCTGGCCTCCTCTCACAGGCTGCCACCCCTACGTATACCGAACAGTATAAAGTCACAGGAGACAGCTGGGTAAGACAACACTCGTCACCTAGCTTGTACACCATTTACTTACCTCAATATTTGTAGAATTCAAAACAAGCTTTTAAATACACTGTGCCAAAATTCTAACTAGTGATTTGATATGATTTTATTTGGACAAAAAAAATATAAATGAAATTTAAACAATATTATTTGAACATGTTTATACAGGATCATAACAAGGCTATTTATTCAGTATCTGTAGAAGTGTAATAGTTGGGACAGTTCAGTATTGAGCCAAATTCATTTCAAGAAGTCACATACAATGTATGTCATGAGCCAAATTCATTTCAAGAAGTCACATACAATGTATGTCACAATACCTCATCTAACACACTATTGAAGACCCCAGCTCCCTTTGTCATGTTCTTCAACACAGTTGTCATTTTCATTCAACTATTGTAAGTCTGTCTGTTTTGTAGGTGAAAAAAGCGATGTGTTGGTCATGACCTTATTGGTGTCATCCTGTTTAATTTGTTGTCACATGTCCAGGACATATCCAGTACAGGTTTCCATTGAATTTCCTGGATAGCTTGATATTTTTAATAACCTAGCAAAGTTAATCTGAAATTGCATCACATTATTGACCTGTTAAGTTAATGTACTTAGTTTTCTCATTTAGAGCTAATGTAACGTAGATTTCTCATTAAGAGTCAATGTACTTAGTTGTCTCATTTAGAGTTAATGTACTTAGTTGTCTCATTTAGAGTCAATGTACTTAGTTGTCTCATTAAGAGTTAATGTACCTAGTTGTCTCATTTAGAGTTAGTGTACTGTAGTTGTCTCATTTAGAGTTAATGTACTTAGTTGTCTCATTTAGAGTCAATGTACTTATTTGTCTCATTNTCTTCTATGTAATAACCATGTGTTAAAGTTTTTCTCAAAGTAAAAACATAAAAACCTGGCATTTTATAAGTGACTGGTTAGAAATTGGCTCAGTGTATCCCTACACTGCTGCACCTGTTTATAAGAACACTTGCTATAAATAGAAAGACCGTAGGAGGCTAGATTTATAATAAAATATTTGTTGTAACCTTTGTCTGAGGATCTGACAAACAGCTATATATGACCATGGTTGATAATATTTGTACAACAAATTTTATCACCAAGGATGTGAAAACTTGCAAAAGTTTGAGAAAAGCATTCTCAGACAATAATGAGTACCACCTCATGATCATGAAGGTACAAGCACTCCCTATATGTTCTTCCTCACAGAACTACTGCTACCATTATACAGTGGGACATTATATACTTCTGACGTTTTAGAATTGTTTGCAAAGTATTCGGAAGGATTTCAGTGCAAACCTGCTGCAATTAATTAAATTGCTTTCTATGCCTTTTTTTCTGATCTTCTGCTTTGATTATTTAGTATTTTATTCCCAATCTTTTTTCTGATTTTCTGCTTTGATTATTTTGTATTTTATTCCCAATCTTTTTTCTGATTTTCTGCTTTGATTATTTTGCATTTTATTCCCAATGAAATGGTCTTGCTTTATAAATTTATTTAAGGAAGTCATGCCTACTTGTTTAAACATGTGATCCAATTTCAAAGACATAGTCCTGAAAACTACTAAAACTAGAATAATAAAAAAGTAACTCAATGCCAAAAACAGTAGGAAATATGTAACTGGTTATTAAGTCACAACTTCAAATGTGTGTGGGTTAATTCCAACTGATCTCTCTACAAACTGTGCCATTGGCCATGCATGTCGATAAAGTTTTGTGATATCCTCTATATTTAACAGGTGAGAATGTTGACAGAAGCTTAATTGAGGACAATTATAGAAATTAACCTGAAACATGATAGTTTCTTTATTCATTCAGTTCAAATTATGTGCAAGGTATACGTACGAACAGCAATTATTTAATTTAGAACTCGAGTTGAAAGGTTGCAGCTTGTGATTGTCAAAAAGAATTGTTTATCTTAGCAACATTAACGTCACCCGCCATTGTACAATGTAAGAACCATATGTGTCATTAATTCACTTCCATATTTATGTAAAAAAGAAGTATGTGATTCATTGCAATATAAAATTTTAATCAATGTAATAAAATTATACACCTCTAATAATACTTTCTTGGGGTGATCATTTTAGTCCTTCATAACATTAAAAAAAAAAATTGATTAGCTTGCTTTAGTACTACCACGGTATTTGAAAACAAATATCTTCATATTCATTCATTAATGAATGACCTATTAGATTAGCACTACCAGTAAGTACAATGATTGGGTCACTGTTAAACTAGACACACATATATAGTACCAGCAGTATTGCGACAATGTATATGTGTATTACCTGTGAATGTCGGGGGATACATGAAAAATTCACGGGCTGAAACTCCAGCAAGGAAATACGACCAGGGAGTAAAACACAGTACAGTTCTCAGCATAATTCATTTAGGTCATAACGACTGATGATTATTCGAGACTATAAATACCCTGAGTGTAGTAGACTAGAACTCAGATCAAGTCAATAATTGTTAGTACAATGTGCAGTGTTACTGTAGGGGTTGTATTTAATATACTGCCGTGCTGATCAGTTCTGTTTGAAGTAAACACATGAGGTGTTTCTGTACATGTGCAGTGTTGTGAGGCCTATCCTTTGTACTTGTTTAGGGAAGTGTTGTGGCTATTGTCTGATCAGCAACTGTACCGACAAATTTTTAACAATTGAATTCTAATTGAAACTTCAAACTTCATTAATAAAACACTAAATCATCCCACTCTGTTTCTATTAGTAAGCATCCGGTAGAGTACAGCCTGGGACTGGGTAAAAACAGCTAGAATAACATCAACTCTGCTACTAAAAATATTTACAATAAAGTTGTCAGACAAGTGTTCATAACAAATGTGTAGGTGATTGTTTTATAATTCTTACTCCCGGTTTATAATCAACCTTATATATATATATATAATGGATCAGATCAATTTTAAGGCACAATATTTTGGTGATGCACTATAGCACAGTCCTTACATAATTGTGATTACACACCTTTTATAATACGTAGTCATTCTTGTTTATCATATAACATAATTTTTGGAGATCAATAACTGTTTGTACAGTAAAACCTTGTTATACTGCCATCATTTTTCAAAAGAAATTTCGGTGTTAAAAAAAAGGTTTGGCAATAAATTGAGGGAAAGATATAAAGGAATGCTTAAGAAAGGGAGAATGGGACCTTGAAATATGTTGGTGGTATGTGAGGTGGCAAATGAAACAATGTTTCTTATTCCTTAGGGGCATTAAATGGAGGTTTTACTGTATGTTGATGTTCGAAATGACCCATAGCAAAACTTTTAAGAAGACAGATTTTTTTTTTTTACAAGGGAACATGAAACGGCGCGTCTAATTACCCAATACTACCCAATACCACCCAATACTACCCAATACTACCCAATACCACCCAATACTACCCAATACTACCCCATACGACCCAGTTATGAACCAAATACTTCTTTATTACTGTGAAATATCACCTTTGTAGACGTTATTTACTTCCATCTGCCATATTTTATCGGGAAATATGCGATTTGGTGCCGAAAACATCACCGAATTGCCGTGACTATGACCCAATACTACCCCATACCACCCAATACTACCCCATACGATCCAGTTATGAACCCAATACTTCTTTATTACTGTGAAATATCGCATTTCTTGAAGTTATTTACTTCTATATGTCACATCCTATCTGGACATATGCGATTTGGTGCAGAAAACATCACCGAAATGCCGTGACTAGGGGTTCGACGATTTACAGGAACGGGCAGGATCGGGCAGAAAACTATTAATTATTATATATACATTGATGAATATATATATTTAATTAGATACATTTAAGTATCATTATCGGGTATAAGATATATTTGATAAAAGAATTGCAATTACATGATACTATATTAATTCTATTCATGTCATAAAATGGTGTTATTAAGATCATATATATAAATTTAGCAGGAAATATTTAGAAAATTTTAAATTACTTTTCATAAATGTTAGTTATTCAATTTTGTTAAACATAACAGTATCAATTATATAACAATGCTGGAGAAGAACCTTCAGTTAAATTAGATACTCAAATACTACGAAATTCAAAAAGTATATGGATTGTATATGATTCGAAGTCCTTTCAATTACTTGATTAACTCACAGATAGTCTGTTTTGGACAAGCTAGATATTTTTTCCATATATAGTTCCCTGACCAATCTTATGAAGGGTAGACGAGTAGGTTGTCATTAAGTAATGTAAAAATTAAATAGATTAATAAAAGGAATTACGTTACGCTTCTTATACATCAATCCAGAGACGTATATATTACATTACGTAATATATACGTCTTTGATCATCCGAAAGCAAAATACTAAATGACATGAAAACTTGATTCGACTCCAAGAGATACTGTATACACATATACTTTATTCAACTCGTTGGCCATCTCAAGTAAATGTGATCTCTATAGATACATGGTAGATACCGTGATGTTGCAATTTTATTTAACATCTAAGTCCGTGATCTAAATCACAGTTACAGGTAAATATATATATTATAATTTAATTTTATAATGTCTTCCGAGGAATTACAAATTCCACTTGCAAACCACTTATATAATATGTACAGAAGACGTAGCAGTCTATGTGATTAGTTATAATTTTAAACAGTGTCTTGTAAGCCATTTTAGGCTGAACATCATATACAATTACATTTTCTATTTAATGCATTTGTTAAATATGATACCAGGTGTCAATCAGAAACATTTTTTTATGAAAATAATCTTCCGTTTAAATATAATTAGCTACTAGTTAGTGTGAATTTAGCAGACCTCGCTGGAAGGGGGCTCCCCAACCCTTGGAAATCTAAATTTCACTACAATGTAGAACTAGGAAATTATTCATTTTATTTATCACCATTGTTATTGTTTTTTTAAAGACATCATGTTTTAAGGCAGTAAATATAAAAGAAACCTTTTAACTATTATAGTATGTAATATG